CCTTTACTGAACCGTCGCCATTGAGCAAACGTTGCTCTGTAAGTAGAAAATATAAATGTTACCTTTGGTGAACGTCACCATTGAGCAAACGTTGCTCTCTAAGTAGAAAAGGTTAACGTTACCTTTGATGAACGTCACCATTGAGCAAACGTTGCTCTGTAAGTAGAGAAGGTAAACGTTACCTTTGGTGAACGTCACCATTAAGCAAACGTTGTTCTGTGAGTAGAAAAAGTAAACGTTACCTTTGGTGAATGTTACCATTGAGCAAACGTTGCTCTGTAAGTAGAAAAAATAAACGGTAGGGTAGACTGGGTACGGTTGTGCCAGGGTACGGTAGTGACAGTCGTAATATTACCGAATCTGTAAAGAATACGCGGGGGCGGGGAGGGGAAAAATTTTCCCTTTTGTTCTATAACTTGTTCCCATGTGTTATGTATGTCACATAGAAAGAAAATCATAATGTTTTTACTTAGCCAAATGTACGCTTTACAATATAAAATATCTTCCATGTTTCTAACTTTAATCCAAACGAAATTATTAGCTGTCAAATAAAAATTGTCACAACCGTACCCAGTCTACCCTACCTTTGGTGAACGTCACCATTGAGCAAACGTTGCTCTGTAAGTAGATAAGGTAAACTTTACCTTTCGTGAACGTCACCATTGAATAAACGTTGCTCTGTTGAATTTTTCTCATATATTTTTTTGTTCTCAGGACAGAATAAGGTCTGAGGACATACCTTTTGCAGGATGGCCGAATGTAGGAGATGACAAATAACCCTGGATCGGTTGAATGAGACAGTGTTTATTAATGCTCGTTATGGGATAAGAATGAATATTGTATTCTAAGACTTCGTGTTTATGTTATCTGACAGAAACCTGGAGAAATATTTATCATAAACTCGGATTGAGTATTAAATTTTCTATTTAAAAAACTAACCGACTATTATTTTTTCTGTTGTATTCCCTGTCATACGAGGCAATCAGTAGCAAAAGCTAATAAACATAACATAAAACGCTGCTTTCTTTTGTTTCAAATCACGTTCCAAGCAACAATCCAAAGTCGGGCCTTCAAATAGGCCACTAAATCTGCTTTCCGTCATGTACCATAATCACTTCATAATCACTTCATCAAACGAAATTGAAAAGACCTACGAAGCAATATTTTTTCAACGTGCCGAGATTATTTATTTCATTGTGAGCCGGACATTGTAATTCAAGCTGAAAACGAAGAATGTTGTTCAAGCCCACTGAATGATTATGAAAGAACAGTCTGTTCGGGTTATGAATGGGGCCGAGTGGGATGACATTGTCAAACGCACACAATAAATCCGTACTAATCTATCGTACTTCGCACTTCCTATGTGTTTTTTATAGTTTGCAGCTGGGGTCCCGATTATTATCCGAAGTCAAACAACAACGAGGGGTGATAGTCAATCACCACCTCTATTAAGTCAATATATGTTATTATTTTTCTGATTGATTCGACCATTACTTGATGAAGATCCGTAGTAATTTCAAAAACTACACCTCACGATTTAATCTCCACAAAGTTTGTATGAAGATTTTTTTGTATAAAGATGGAAAAGTAGAAAGCCAAAAACCTTTTTCTCACAAAAAAATATAGTAGTGTTTCTACTAATAGGTACTCGAGTTGATTTTTACTGGATCCTCGTATATTACTCATAATTTGATTACTTACATTATGAAAGAAGACAATAGCTGGATTTTCTGGAATCTTAACGATGTAATAAAACAAGAATAGTAACTATTTTCTCAAGTATATAATTATTGGATTATTGAACTGTCATGATAGCTTGTTTCCAATCATCCCATAGGCCAATTACCTTTCAACAAAAGACATCCATTCACATTACAAGACACATAAACGTTTTGAAATTTGTGCATCTGAAATTCCAACTTTCATTTAAGAAGTACAATAATAGTTTTATTGTTTTTTAATGGTGATTATAATCTCGCTTAAGGATAATTTTGTAATTATATACACACAACCGAACTTATATGGAACCACTTGATTTTTTACTAACAATTAATGGTTATAGACTATGTTCACGCTCAACAGAAACATGATGAAAAAGTATGGAACGTCAATTTTTTCTTCTTCTTCTTCTTCTTCTTCTTCTTCTTATTCTTCTTCATCTTCTTCTGGTTATGGTCGGTGCAATCGTTGATTTCCTTCAAAGTCTTTCATTTCCTGTTGTAAAATTCGACCTAACAGGTTAAGGGTTTTTTTCTGTGACGACTAAATGAATTGACAAATATATTTATTAATGGATAACTAGGCAAAATCATGCATAACTGTCGCCTTTGAACAAATCACAGTTCAAGATACATAACTCATGATCTTCGCGGCCATAAAGAGGTATGAAGAACAGTTGTTCTAACCTAGCTACAACAATAATTTAGACAATCCCTTCACGCGGGGTTTTCAAATGATCGATGCTGCGGTGAATGCTTCGTATTTCATTAGAGGCGAAAGTTTTTCAGCGCATGGTGACTACATAGGCGTGAAGTTTGGATCAACGTAACCACGAAAACCCAGACTTCGATTTTCTCCAGAAAGATAAATGTCTCCCAACCGGATATAATAATGCCTTGACAGACAATTCCGCATTCTGCTTCGATAAGTTATCTGGGTGATTGAAATGAACACCATCATTATGTCTTGGCACAATCATGTCACTGTTATTGCAAAGGCCGCTTCTCGAAAGCTTAGAACACTGTTCCGAACCAGAAAACTATACAAACCAAACAACTTTTGATGCTTCATGAAGCTCAGATCAGACCTTTTTTGAAATACTGTTCACACGTATGGAATTCCGCCGCTAAGCATACCCTGAAGCTGCTGGATTCCATCCAGAAAAGAGCCATCTGCCTGATGGGAGACGCGAACATCACTTGCAACCTTGATAGTCTGGAACATCGAAGAAATGTTGGAGATTTGTCTCTCTTCTATAGATACTTTCACCGGAGGTGTTCAAATGACTTGACACATTTGATTTCACCAAGAGTGGTACATATCAGAAATACGCGACGGACTGTGGTTGCCCATCGTTTTGAGGTTCAACACAGTACACCTAGAACTTCACTGTTTAAGAACTGCGTTTATGTGGAATAAACTTTCTGAGAACGTGAGATTTGTTTAGTATTATTATAATACTTACTATTTTCCACATATCTGGAAATGTTCCCCGCTTCAATGACTCGTTCACCACGTATTTCGCGATCAAGTCTCTATATATTCATATTGTCAATGGCCACAACGTAAGGTTTTATGTCACGAATGATGACGGTGATAAATGTAATTTGAACTCAAAAGAAATATATACTCCTCAGCTTGTCTCCGTAATCATCATCCTCAAAATCGGTAAAAACTACCACTAGATGCGAAGAAAAGAAAGTTGGCTTCAATATTCGGAAAAAAAAATTGAGTGAGTATATGTGAGCAGATGCATTTTCTTCTACAACTGTCGGGACTTATGATAGGTGAATTATTATTTAGACGAACACAGCGTTTATCAACAATAAAATTTACTAACAACAAAACACAATGACAAAACACGAAAACGAAAATTACAGGGTAACCTCGAGGAACTAACGCTAACTCTTTGCTCGATCAGTGAGGAGACTGTAGAGCGGGTTTAGTTCTCGGCCGAAATCTCAGCCGAAATCTAGAAATGTGTTCACAGTAACTCTCGATAACTCATCACTGACAAAATGGTCGGGGCATAAATATAGTCGAAAAGGGTCAACCACTTGTGTCCGAATTCCTTGTCTTAATCCATAAAACTGTTAACAATGAGTACCTACTTGAAATATCCCAAGTAGTGTCTGTCGATCTACATATTGATCTGTTTTTCGGCATTAAACTTTCGTTTCGAGAGAAGAGGTCATTTCAATGGTATGCTATGAGAAAATACGAAAATGATAAGTAAAAATTAAAATAACAGAATTTATATAAAGACCCAAGTAGATGGATATTTTGGACGACTGCTCGATAATGCAGTTATGAAAAGTTAATTTCCTAACAAGAATTCATGTTACAAAAATAAAAATCAATAACGAAATAAAATGTTTCTAAAGTAAGTAGTTGTAGGAAAAACCCTACACAACAAATATTAAAACTTGATATAATAATAAGATTGTTGATTGTTTTCATGGTACGCCTCCAATGTAAAAATATAATGTTTTATTTGAACAAATTGAATCGATACTGATTGAAAATAGATGAAATTTGAACGATTTTATCGAGCGTTCTATATATCACTTCCAAAACTTGAGATCTGTACAAAATCTGTTTCTTCGTTAAGTAGTTGTCATCCCCCTATGAACGCCAACCCTTAAAAGTCGACACCTATACGAGCTAAAAGTTAAAGAGGTTTTACCTTTCATCGTGCGATTCCTAGCACGGGAATACAAGAAAGGTACTAAACCTGGTTCCTATAAACGAGCATGGGATTGCTTTTTTTAAGATCAATGTACAAAATAGGTTTTTTGGCAATTCCGCAACGATATCTAAAAAAATCCTGTAAAAGTTGAATAATTTGGAATCGAGTAATATACTTACATCTTTTCCGATGTTCCATCAAAAAATATATATAAATTTGATTGGCTACGCTCACAAATCACCCAGTAAGTGACAACATAATTTTAGAAAATTGTTTCGATTGATATATGTAAAAAAATTAAATAGAAATATTCAATAACACGAAAGCATCGGACTGAGCAAATGTTGATGGCTCACCCTGTAGATAAGAAGGGCTCCATCTAGGAAGCTACGGAGTTAGAGAAACGCGTCTAGAAATGAAAAATGTTTGTGAAAATTATCTTCTTATTATCATGGATACGGTAATATTCAACTGGGTACTATGGGTCTTTCAGGTAGGTAACTATTTATAAATAAATTACATGAGGTAAAACTGACCAATGTTTCAAAGCTATGTCTCAATAAAAAGAAAGTGGAGTAGGTAATTGGCCCACCTCAATATCTTCCAGCTATGAAAGAAGTTCAGTAATAATAAATAATCCATAAATAACCACAACACTGCACAGCACTCACGATTTCGGCTGAGAGGCGCGAAAATCGTTCAAATCGTCAGTAAAAAGCATTGTCAAAAAACTATCGTGCACAAAACAAATCAGCTCGTTGAAAAATGTCCACGTCGCGTCTCGTCAAAAAATTAATAAAATTTAATCACATTACCTATGGAACAAGCGCGTAAAACTGCTCATTCTACAATCGAGAGCGCCACTCTTCAAAGTCAAAGCAGTCAGCGGGAAATCAGCTGTTCAAGATCTTTCACAGCCTACTGTAACTCGACTTCAACTCTCTGCTCCCTGGCATGAATCATCATTGTTTTCGTTAATTCGAGTGCGTGTAGAGCCTGAGGTCGTCGAGATTGTTAAGATTGCCGAATGTTTTCGGCTTGATGAAATGCCGATAGTTTTTTACAAGTCTGTTTGACCTTCATTTCGTGTAAACTGCTTATATAGCTTTAAATTGATTGGCTACATATCTGAGAATTTGTTCAAAGTGAATATGTTCAACCTGTTGAACTAGATTTCATGCCCGTTAAAAATTTTAGTTACAAGGAAGCTTCCTGTATTAATAATGATAATAATAATAATTTATTTCCCAAGAAACAACATATTGAATTGGAATAGTCAAGTCTAGAAAATAAAACATACAAGGTAGATTTAACAAATTCACTCCCAACGCTTTGGAATACAGAGTCGTCGTTAAAAATTCTAAACATATAAAAATGTTATGATGATAATAATATACATATGCGACTCCAGCCAATATCCATCGACACAGCGCGGCCATTAGAGTGCTTTATTACCATCTCGGCCAGTGTTCCCAACACTTAAAATTGTATCTCCCTAAAGCCCCAACCAAAAATCCCTAAAATCCCCACAATTGCTTAGAATTCCCCCAAATTTTTTTTCATTATTTTATTTAATAAATGATTGAATACTTTTACATAAATAATACATCAAAAATAACGACCATACCTCAAATTTTAATTTGTACCTGTATAGCTGCAAGCCAACCTGCAATAAAAGATAAATCGTAAACATCGACATCCGCTGCTTGAGTTACAATATCGACAAAACCAATAACACATAATGTTTTATAGTAGATAGTAAATGTATATAGTAATCATAACAATGGTAGTGGATTCTTAACCTTAATTGAATAAAAAATACATAATACTTTTTTTTAATCTTATTAACAGGGCTAAGAGGTTCAAGTAATTTCTTTGTTTAGATTTAAGGTTAAACAGTGCAAACCTCCTAAATTTATCTTAAAAATACAATGGAAATACTTCACTTTTCAAGTCTGCATCTATTTCCCACGTCTTTGTATATTTTTGACAATATTTTTTTCATCTTCAGCTTTAGCTTTGTATATTGCAAAGGCTTCAGGCTTTGTATATAGACCTCTATATACAAAGCTTCAGGTATTCAACTCTGCACTCTTAGTGACAAAGCTTTCTAAATAGACCTCTATATACAAAGCTTCAGGTATTCAACTCTGCACTCTTGGTGACAAGCAACCACACTAGATGTCGTTAAGGCGCTATTATATTATATTAACGGAAAAAAAGATTTTTTTAAACAGAATTCATCAAAATGTTGAGAGGTGAGATTATCAAAGTAGTTATTTCGGAGAGAAGATTATGAGGTCTTTTTTCTGAGCAGCCTAAAAATGTCCAGACTTTTTGTCGCTCATATTCATTAACTAATTGTTGCCCACGACTCCATTCGCATACACTTAAATTTTTGAGACTCTCCAGGATTTCTAACAGCAAAATGTTCCCATGTGTTTGCTCAGTTTTGATTTATTATAAAATCGATTTACAAAATAAAAAATGTAGTCAACTAAAGATTCCGTCAAATTAATTGAACAATATTTTTAAAACAAATGTTTGACGAGATTCTTCAAATCAACATATTTTCTTTTCACAACACATTATTGAAAACCGTACTAAAATAGGTTGAGCCATTTTTTAAATTAGCGCATAGAAATCCAAAATTTTAAAACAACCCCAGTAGTCTAATTGATAAATTCACACCCTAGAACAACCTTCTTGTATTTACCTAGTAATATTTGTGTAATCCCTCGTAAAGAAATCTGACTGTTACGCCATCTATCATTCGATATCTCTACAGTAAAATGTGCTTCGTTGTATGTGAGAGGGACATCTAGCGATAGTCTATTTGAGTTACACATCGAGATAATTATTGTATCTTTGTATATAGATAGACTATTATGCAATGGTTATATCTTCAAACGGTTCTACCCAGTACTTCAAATGGAGTCTATATTAAGAAGGGCTACAATCTTAATTAACTACATTCTGAAATTAGCAGAATTCTGATATCGAAAGTAGATTTTGATAAAATTACTAGTTTGAACAAAGAATTTAACAAAATTCAGAATATATGACCCCCAAAATTCGTTATGGGCTTCCCTTAAAATACTTACTTCACAAGAGGTGAGAGAATACTGGGTGTCACTGATTTACCATTCAATTTCTCATACATTGTGCACTGAAAACTATAGGGATTCAAGTGACAATTGTTCAGATTCATACATTCAAATGTATAGACAAAAACAAGCCCAATCAGGAGATATGACTAAAATTTGAGTTACAGTTTTAATTAATTGAAAGTCTAGTCAGAAGGAAGGTACCCATCAAAAGCCACCAAATTAATTCAAGTATTTGTTTCAGACAGATGGCAGCCATCAGGACTATGAATCTTGTCTGTTTCTAAAATTATTAAATTTTATTTAACTGAAAAACGCAAAATATTTTTCAAGCTTTAATAGTATAAATATAATAAATATGCTATAAAAATTATGAATATATCCTAAGCTATAACAGGTTGCTTTGAGCAGTATTACAAAATTTTTTTGGCAGTTTTCTGATGAATCATTTTTACAGAGTATATTTAGTTTGTAGATCATAACCAACAAATCCCACGTGTCTATGTAAGATCTGTGGACATTTTTTTGGAAATGCATTCTAAGAGAGCTTCATAAAAGTTCGGGAATCCATCATAACCTGAAAAAAATTAAATGTGAAATTACGCAAATTATCAGAAATATTCATTTTAATATGAATGAAAAAAAGATAAATCAGAACATTTTTGTTTGGTAGTCATATGTTAAATAAAGGTAAAGATTAGTTATCACCCAGAAAGTCAATAACATAAGATACTAGGAATTCATTTAAAAGGATCTAGATGCATATAAAAACATTAACATAACTTGTAACAAATAGTTTAGTGATCTGATGATGCAAACAAAGGAAAAAGTCTATCCAATATAGGCTTCAAGCCAACTTCTACATATCAAATATATTATATTAATTCCTATTTCAACTATTAACGCCTTGTTTCTGATTAGTGTGAGAAATGTATGTGATGTCAATGTTTTTATTGCATTATGTAAATTAGTAGATGAATAAATACTTTTTTTATATTGCTTGAATATCTTGTTGAATGGTTTGGCCACTATGAATTATCAAAGTCAGACTTGAATGTTGATCTTATTTTTGACCAAATGAATGTAGGTACATAATTTGAATATATGTAATGATAAGATAATTGGCTGGGTTGTCAATGCATACTTGTTGAAATGCCGACACCAGCGAAAGAAGTAAGCATTTACTACTGTTCATTATGGCAAATAATTTAAGAGATTCCAAACATAGTAAATAAACCTACCGTGATGAAAACGAGAAGTTACGATAAGTACTACCTTTATAAGTAACTGTGTTCTGAAATGGAATGTATCTGATGAGGAAAGCTGTTCAGATCTCTGACTCATAAACTTTGAAATGTTTTCAATTGATACATAAAATAAGAATAAAAATACTAACGAAGAGACAGATATAAAGAAAGTAAATTGGTAGTACATAAAGTAAAGATTGTGTATAAAAATAGCATCCAAGTGACTCAACATTTATGTTATGCTACAAAGTAATACTAATTAATATAACAATTTAGTGGCAGTGTATCTATTGTTTTGTATCAAAGCCACCTGAAAAAATACTGGAAAGTCTACAAGGCAGACCTGGAAATTAATCTACACCAAATGGGCTTTCAAATAAGGAACTCAACAGACCTATAGTTAACAGCAGACAGACTACAGGAAGCTATCATTTCTGGGTATAATGGACAGTGTCCTATACTCAACCAGATATCTAACAGGAATGTCTCCTGGAATGGAACAGAATGTCTCCTGTCTCCTGGAAAACCTTTAAACGCAAGGAAATCAGGAGTATGGTATCAATATAAAAGGTATATAACTGAATATAACAAAGCCTTGTGAAAATGAAAGAGAAACTCATGTTGGAGGCTAGCGAGGTCAAACAGACCTAAGTATGTGCCAGACTCTACAAGATACCCTCAGAAGATTCGCAGGTCTCGACAAATAACCTGAAAATAAACACCAGGAAGATACAAAAACAAGCAAGAAAACTATAAGAGAGCTTCTCCGGGTGCACTTCTCCAGTTCAGAAATTACGAATGTAGCACCGGAGATCTGGCCTCTGAAAGGGTGTCCAGGGAGAATTAGATGGGGGCAAAAAAGAGGTAGATTTGGTATGTGTGCAAATAGTTTGAAACATACTTATTGAATCAGGCGCAGATAATAAAAACTAATACAATTTCCAATGTTGCAAACATTCATTGCAGGGTTCCTCAAGGATCGATTCTTAGCCTCATTTTATTCTTTTTCAACTATATCTGAATGATCTGATGACGTTCAATATATTAGGCACACTTTATATATTCAATATTTCATGATATGGTAGTAGTGAAACAAAATACACCTATCAATTATCAAAATTAATGCTGACATAATGGGGGTGACAAAAATAGTGGGAGTTGATGTGGTGGTGTGGAATATAATAAATTGTGTGAAAATATAATAAATTTTAGATGTCTCAAAATGTTTTATTAGATAACCAAATAATAATTGCTCGAAATTTCTGTCTCCATATTTATTATAATTCGAAATTTAATGAGCACATGAACATTCTGAATGAAAAATGTATCTGCTGGTTAATAATAATTAATAATAATTTTTTATTATTTCCTTGTTAAAAAGTACATTGTTATACGTACAGTGACAAGGAAAACGTCTGAGGGTAGGGCACGTTACAGAGTATAATGTTTGTAGTAATCATATAAGCTCAGTAAAATCTCTTTACTACAAAAATTAGCCATGAATCTCAGAGCATAGCAGTTTTTTCTCAATTTAATACAGAGGGTCTCAATATGAGGAGTCCATGTAAGTCTATAGTCCAAGGTGACGCCTAACATTTTTGTAGAAGTACAAGATTCAATTGGCAGATCCCCATTTTCATGGATAACAAAATGTTCGGGCCACTGTTATGCTATAAGAGAATGAGTTTATCTTCTGGTTGTTATGCTATAAGAGAATGAGTTGAGGTACTCAGTGGTAAAATCAGTGCATTATGGCCTGACAGGTGGTAATCCATAACGTAAATGCAATGAACTGTTGCAACATGTATTTGTACAAAAAATACGAGCTTTAAGGAGCCTATACATACTGAAATTTCTGGCTCATGTAGACCCCAATTCAAATATTGCGGCCAATATGCTAATTTAAAATTGTGAAAATTTGTGACTCTGGCATGTATATTTATGTTGTAAGGGATAAATAAAATATCTATCTATGTATTTATACAAAAACAGTGTGTCTCATTAACAAAAATAAGTCAAGACTCATTAGAGTTGATACTTACTATACCTGACAAAATAATGGTGGAAAAATTAAATCCTACCTGGATAAGCATTTACATCTATGATAGCGTATTTCCCTGTAGATTTTTCAATTACTACGTCAACTCCGAATAGATCCATCCCGAATGCTTTCCTCAGAGTCGTGGCTATTAGATTAATAATTTTCTCATCTGGCTCCCTCCTCTCTACAACATCTTCAGGGTCAAGTACCGATAATCGACTCTTAGATCCCGCCTTAGAAACATCACTCGAATCAAAGTATATTGTCTCTCTGTCCGAAGCTTGATAATTTTTCAAAGAAGGCCTTTCCACCATACAGTGCTTATCCCCGGCAACATATATTTTAAATAATGAAGCATCGTGATTTATGAAGCTTTGTGCTACACACGGTGTGCTGATATCTATAAGGCTCCTTTCATTGAATATTATACAAATTTGGTGGGCTTTCCGAGAACCATGACCCAGTAGAGGTTTGCATAAAAATGGATAAGTGACATGGGCTATTCGCAATTGATGTTTGATGGTCTCCACATCGTTTGTTTCCAGCGTACAGAAATTGGGTGTGAAAACTTCGTAGGTGCATAAATTCGTAGAATGGATAATACTGTAGCAGCTATACCTATCTATTATTTTTCTTACATTTGGTATAGGATCTATCACAATGAGTGTGGGATTTTGGGAGATGTACCTCTCTACATCTTGAAGTATTGCAATACACTGAAAAATATTTAAACAGAAATTAGTGACAATTACTTGTTCTCGTCCAATTTCAGATAACAAGTGAATAATTTTCAAAGAATGTTAGTGGAGTTTCATCCCAACACCAAACCGTTATTTTAACACCTCGACACGTGTTTCGATCACCAAATGATATCTTTCTCTTGAAGATGATCACTTGGTGATTGAAACACGTGCTGAGGTGTTAAAAATAACGGTTTGGTGTTGAGATTAAACTCCAGTAATATTCATTACTACACCAAAGGTTCCAAACAATGCATCACCAGTAAATACTATTTTCGCCCTCTTTTAGTATTCTGAGAAATAAACTCACAATTACAATATTGAATATATATGCTGTCTGTTCAAAAAATAAGGTGAATTTTCATTTTTCTCAAAAAATATTCATTCATTCATCAATTTCTATTTTGTCCCCATCAAAGTAGTCTCCCTCAGATGTAATACACTTGCACCAGGGTTTTTTCCATTACTCGAAACAGTTCCGATATGAACTTTTTGGTATGTTCTTAACCTCTCTCAACGATTTGGTTTTCATCTCCTTAATCATCGTAAAACGCCATTCTTTCATGGGCCTCTTCAACTTTGGAAACAGTCACTGTCAATATTTCAAGTTTTTTCTTGAGTAGTTAGTTCTATTTTTAAATAAAATTTGATGCAAACTCTTTGAACAACTTTTCTACATAACAGAAAATCGCAGAACACGCTTACTCTCATGCCTCTCATCAACAAACCAAACATGTCAAACAACTGAAATTGTGAACATATGTTTGAGACGAGTGAACCAACATAAAAAAATTAAAAAATTGCTAATCGAATGTACATAGCTCGCAAAATTTGAACACTCATCTTATTATTTTGAACAGTCCACATTAATATATTGATAATCTGTCACAATTAAAAATATCTATATACAAAGAGAAAACCATGTTACTACACAAAGATAAGCTATTCATAATTTGACTTTCACAAATCCACCTTTACTCATATATTACTCCTGAAATGTGTCTCAAAAATATAAAAATCATAATTAAAAACCCAGTAAACTTTCATGAGCTGAGCAATTATAAACATTTTCAAAATTATATTTTATGAAATGAAGTATCTATATCGTTTCATGTACCAATTGAATGAAAGTATCTATTCCCTTATTGATTATTGTACAATAGTATATCATTTTACCTTTATTCCACCGAAAAAAATATACATAGAATCCAAAACACTTCACATGCCATTTGCCTATAAAATTCCAAATTGAAACTGTTATTTTATACATTAACATGCTTGAAGAAATGAAAACTGAAAATAGGGTAAAATTTCTATTTACAAAATATTTATTCAATTTACTCAAATATTGCATTATTTCTTATCCAATTCAATGTTTATTAAGATATCTACTGAACATAATGATCTTTCACGTAAAAGTTATTTATTCCCCCAACATGCAACAAACAAAATTGAAGATACTTTTTCCTAGGTACATTGCTTCCGGCCTATTGAATATTAATATTCATCAACTCTCTTATCCAGTAGGTGAATTTTTCAATTGTAAAAAAAAATTATGTGAAAATTCTTACTTTGGTGAGGTATTTTTTTTGTTTTTTTTGTGACACAGTCAAGATTATTCATCATTATTAATATTATCGTTATTGAATAGATAGATGTGTTGGTTTCACTCAGAAATGTGATATTATTTACCACAGTTATAATTCCTGAAATAGTGATGACACCATCCATATCAGATGAAAAATTATTTGAATATGATCTCATTGGATGGTTTTGTATAGAATACAATATAGAGCAAATACAAAATAAAAATATCACCCAAGACAACTATTCTTATAATGTCGAAAAGAGAAAAAATTTATCAAGAGTTCCATGAATTATCAATATTCGAAGTCGAAGAGGAATAAGATACATAGAGAATAATTGTAGGATCCCAAAAGTTTTGAGTTCAAAGGAATAATATTCCAATGAAGTAATTGCATAGATTGACTTGTGGATTTCCTTTTGAGAACATACCCTAACATCACCCAAATTTGCAGAGGCTATAATATCCGTCATTTTATGCACTAATACACAGAATGGTCCTTGGGATTCCAAACTACTTTTTAGACACAACTGCAAAAAACAAAATTATGAGCACATTACAAAAAACTTACTGTGAAAAAGAACCACCCAATTTACGCACTTTGAACACTTCAAAGCCATAATTACCGCAGACTGTTTCGAGTTCCTGCCAGTTTACTTTCTGAATTTTTTTTTCGGACATCCAAACTGCGATACGTTTGTTGGGGGACATTTTTGGTTTTCAATTTTCGCACGTCTAATTGTGTCAAATAAAAACATGAAGGAAAGAACAAAATGTTATGTTCCTACCCAGTATTGCCAGCTTTAATGAGATGTCAGTGTCAGTTATGTCATAACACTAAGCACATTGCTTGGTATGCTGTGTCGCGTATTTAATTGTAGCCAATGATTTTGTTTTTTGAATAGATTCAGAAGTGAAACATACAAATCTATTCCAAATTAATGATGGAATAGAATTTGTTCCCTCCAATTTTCGGTTGTACATTTTATCCATCATTCTGTTTTCATTTAATTTTTTATTTTCATTATTGACATTTTACTTCTTGTTCAACTCATTAATCAATTCACAATTCAGGTCACAACTTGTTTTCTTCACAAACAGCATTTTTTGAATTTCAGGAATGCATGTTTTTTGTTTATTCATTCTCATTTTTCTATGTTAACGATTCATGTGAATATTTTAGTTCTGCTTTTTTATTAATTCTGATATTTTATTAATTTTTATATTATTTTCTGCTAATATATTCCAAAAATGCTGATACTTCTTCTAGAAAATGAAGTAGTCTACGAATTATACATGAACCTCCTAGGGCCCCATTTTCAAATCAGGTGAATTCTGATATCGAGAGAAAAATCTGATGTCTTTCTCTTTCTCCGTCTATGCGAGAGAACATTCGATTTGAGAGTATGACCCAGATCTTTTTTTCCACTGTTTTCTCGGAAAATTTGTCTAGACAAGGATAAAATCTGTAAACCTCTGGTGTTTTATTTCCCAATAAATCTACATTCATACAACTCACTCATCTCAAACCTTATTTCATAGTAACGTATTTATGACCTATAAACCTAAACTAATTTTCATTGTTTTTAACATTTTCCTTTTTCAATGAACTTTTTGATTGAATGCAGAAGACAGATATAATGTTTTTATGAATGTATTATATTTTTGTGGGATTCTAATAGCTATTATATTTTCTTTTCTGTCTGGTTTCGCTATAGAAGTGGTCAATTTTCAATTTTAGAAGAAGATTCACAGCAATAACCTCAAAAACGATTTGTTATTTGAATACAAAGATTCATTTTTCATCAAAGAATTTAATTATTGACTGACCATGTCAGATTATGATAAAAGCAAATCTTCCAAAAAAAAATTCCATCCTACAAGAATTAAGGTTGAGTTTATTCAAAATAATACATTGCCTCATTAAAAAACCCCTTTTATACATTTATTTCAGGAGTCTTCCAGCCATGGAAGAAGTTTTACCAGCAGTAAAACAGAAAGTATCACTTCATTGAACTTCGGCAAAGAATCAGCGAAAGAATCTTTCATCACTGATCCATCTATTAAAAAGCAACCTACAATATTATTGAAAACTAGAGAACATCCTGTTGAAGAAATAGCAGCGTCTCCAAAACGAGGTACTCACAGAGAAGAACATGTCAATATTTCTATAGCTTCATCATCAAGGGACAGTGAAGGTAATCATAATCTCTTCATGACAACTGTTAGATCAACATGAGTCCAAATTGTGACCTATACTTATTTAACCTTATCTGGTAAATCTATGCAATCTATGGAAATCATTAAGTTCTTAGGTGTTACCTTTAGATAGTAAGCTAACATGGGAAGCACACATAAACATTGTATGTTCAAAACTATGCACTACATGCTATGATTCAGTCTACTCTGCAATATGGTGTGTTCTTTCGGGGGTCCTCTTGAAAGGGCATTTATATCTCAATAAAAGAATAATGAGAACAATATATCATGCTCATCCAACTACAACATGTACACCTTTATTCAGGAATCTCCGAATACTAACCGTTCCATGTTTATATATTCTTGAGCTGATTATTTACATTAAAAGAAACCAAAGTGAACTAACGAGAAATGAGGACAATCATATGTATAATACCAGGAATAAAGAAATACTTTGACAACCCTATGCAAAATTATCAGTCTGAAAATTCACCAAATCGTATTGGTATCAAATGTTTCAATAATTTGAGAGATATAAATAGATGTAAATCTGAATGATGTACTATTCAAAAATAAATTGAGAAATTTCCTTCAAAAAATATTTTATAAGGTTGAAGAATTTTATATCTTACTATTGTGAAACTGACTATAATTTTTTTGGTTTGTTTTGCGACTATACACTATCTTAACAATTTATTTGTAGGTTACTTTCTTTTCTTTTGACTAGTCTCTTAAGTTTTATACACGTGTGTATGTATGATGCCTTGTATAATCTTTGATTGATGAATAAATTCTATTATTTTTATACAATGTTTTTCAGCAAATGCAGTTCCAACACTGAAATCAATGGTCAAATCTATGAAATTGATTGACGATGGAGTTCTTTGTAGCGATTCCTTACAAGATTTTGTAAACGACAATAATGAATTTCTTATTGTCGGTATTGTTGGTGCAAATGGTGTGGGAAAATCAACCGTTATGAATTTACTTGCGCATAACCAGATAACCGAAGATATAAAAAAATATATTTTCAAGTCAAATAAGTCAACAGAGGATCGCAGTGGAGACATAAAAATTTTAACTGAGCACCTAGATAAAATTGACTTGAGAAGTGAATCCAAAATGAAGAAGGAAATATTCAAAATTGAAACAGTTGAAGATATTGAAAACTGCTACAACAGAACACAAGGGATAGACATTTTCATCACTTCCAACAGGGTTTGTTTCTACATTCTTAGTTTTCATTTGATTTCAAAACAGCTTACGAGACGTTCATTTTGAAAACCAGATGAGCCACTTTCAACAAATTTTTCAGATGGCAAAAAACTAATGAAATAACTGTTTATCAATTAAAAAATGCGAACTTTAATAGGATATTTACTGGTCTCAAATAACATTCCTCCAATTGAAAAACAATTATTTTATTAGTTTTTTTGCCTCCTGTAAATACCAGACACTATTACAATTATTGACAACTTCATAAAATTTAAATAGTTTCTTGTAATGACATTTGGAATAATTTATCGAAAAACATTGAAGTTTATTATAAAATAAATATGTCTAAATGAAGTTTGACTGACCTAAGAAGTGATTTCCTGTCTATTTTTCACTACTGAAAGCTCAAAATACTTCAGGTGTGTTTTTTTGAGAGAATTTTTGATTTGAAATTGAGTTGAAGACCTAATAGATTGAATAAGTGCCAGATGAATGTTTATTCTTGAATGCCACTTATTGAATACAGCTATCAGTTACATAAGAAATAGTTATATTTCATCTCTTGCGGAATTTTCTGTACCGACAACTAATCAGAGCACATAATCCATATTTTCAAGAATATGGATTCTGTGTAGAATATCCTTGTTTATGACTTAATGACCAGTTCGCTTAGTTTTTTATCTTTAATGTAGGTCTTGCGTTGCGTTACTTATCTATAAATCCACCTTGATGCTCACACATATGACAGATAGTGTAGAGGATTCTAACTTAATATTATTAGCTGTTTGATAAGTCCTTGCCGAAAAGTACATATAATTGATATCTCTTTAGATATTTTGAATCCATTTTTATGGTAAATATCATAATCTTCATATTTTCTGGTGTGTTTTCCATATTTAAATAATTGTCCAATCGTTGAATATTCCCATGTATCTTGATCAAATTTATGACTATATTATTTGGAAGACCTAATGCTCTTATTTTGTACAAGTATTTGAAGATTCACCTGTGAATATAGAGAAATAATTTTGGTTTTGGCTTTCTACTTCAATATTCTACTGCAATCAAAATGTAGGAATCTTCCAAAGACGGAAAGAAAGCAATTAATTCCAAAATAAACTCTTTACAATGATGTGTAGATCATGCAAAGAAGTAACTTTCGGACACAAACTGGAAGAAAAAACCCTCTCGAAACAATTACAAAAGAAAAATTACTTTCAATCAACTATCTTTCTTTTTTTGGAAGATTCCCACGTTTTTCTTTCCCAAAAGTTAGATTTATTGTAAGTGAACACGGTTTTTATGATAAAGAACATGTTTCCCAGACATCTTATTAAATTCAGCTCTAGTAGAATTTTGAATGTGGCTTCTGTTATCTTCAGTTGATCCTTTTGGACTGTCAACCATTTGCATCGGTGTCTGTACTGGAAGAGCTGATCAAGAGTGAAAGCAAGAGAACAAATCTCGTCAGCGAATTCATTCCGCTGGAAAATAGTGGAGAGATTCAAGGACTACAACTAACATCTTTTTTGATGTCTGTGTGCCATGTTTTGATATTGGTACAAGACTGGTTTTTTGATAGTAATGTGGTAAGGTCAGTATACATTTTATTTCCAATTTGGTCATTCAGTAGTAAATGACCTGAATTCTTATATCTATTAATTTCTGAACATTCAAAAAATTGAGTTTCAAACTCTTCTCTTCTAAATGTAACATGTCATAGTCGTGATTGACCTTTCCATTCAAGCAACTAGGTACTTCTATTCTCTTTAATTCTTTATGAAAAAGTTCTCCCCGTTTGGCCAATATAAAATTCTGAGCAACAGCCACATGTCATGGTTATGTTTCTATCATCGTTTTTTTTAATCTAAAAAGGGTTCTTGTTTAGCTGGTTTATTCTTCACCCGATAGGGTTAACTATAGCAAATCGAATAACTTTATGGATGTAAAATCATAGTGGAAGATTTCTCAATAGGAGCTTTCTATATAGGTGATGCCTTAACAAGAGATTTCTGGTTGAAGAAGGTTTGAGGTATTTGAATAGCTCATCCTCTCAACCTATGTAAAGGAAATCAAAAAATTGAAGTGTTCGCATTATAACTTACATGTCAATCAGATATTTCCACGGAATCGTATTTCGATTTTGAGAAAGTATCAAAATTTTCTGAATCTGTAATTAATGATTCTAGTGAATATGATTGAAAGCTTATGAACTTTACAGATTCATTCAAACGGCTGAAATGCTGAAGCCAACCATTCCCAATCCAGAAGATGAATTAACTGACTACTTTCCGCATCTTTTACTAGTTCATAACAGGGCCCAAATAGAAGACTTTTCCCCTTCCAAGTTCAAAACTATGCAAGAAGTAAGTAAAGGTGTGAATGAAATTTGGAATGACAATGTATTTCATGAACTGTAGGATTTACTTGTATTATCTCTTTATAATGTTATATATTTTTTTCAACTGTAATTTCATATAAAAGGAATCTCTGGCGTAGAAAAAATCCAAAAGAAGCACTATTCCACAAACACCAGAACTGCAATGTACTATTCTCGACGAGCATTTCACCAACCTAGTTGGGGTTTTCAGGAGATGGAGAAAACTAATTGTTAGTAAATCTTGGGATGACTACCAAATATTTTTAGATCTCAGAGCTCGATGCAAACTGGCATCAAAAATTTGCAGTGATAACTATATTAAAAGAATTGAAAATAACTTGACATCAAACATAAAACACTTTTAGAATTTTCTAAACAACAAACGGGAAAATTATGGCTTTCCTGATACTGTGTAGTGCAGGGATAATATCTATAAGAATGGAAATGACATTGTTAATGCACGTATAGACAATGAAATACCAATATTAAGTTATGAAAAAACAATTGGTATCAATAGTTGTACAGTTTTCTTACAAATTATCTCACAAAAATTATCAGAATTAGATCCATACAAGGTTCTGGGATCAGATGGCATTTCACCGATGCTACTGAAAACCTGTGGATTTACACTAGCTAAACCAATGTTCTTATTATTTTTAGCTTGACTTAGTTTGGGAAAATTACCACTCATTTGGGAATCAAGTTATATAACACCAATTTTCAAGTCTGGCAACAGAGCAGATATAAATAATTTTTGACTGATCAGCATATTTAGTACAATACCCAAACTACTTGAACACATCGTTTGTGATAATATAATTTTGAATGCTCTGGAAAATAAACAAGTGGATGTAATTTACACCGATTTTTCAAAAGCATTTGACATCGTGAACCATACAGTTCTTTGTGAAAAGTTAAAGGCAATTGGCTTTTTTGGGAGTCTGCTGGACTGGTTCTCAAGATATCTTTATGCTAGATCGAAGTTTGTGAAAATTAAAGGATTTATTTCTCATGAGAGAGTACATCAAATGCCTCAAGGAGTACATCAAGGCAGTCACTTGGGACCAATTCTCTTCAATATCTTTGTAAATGATATCAAAGAAAAAATTACTCGCTCTGAAATACTGATGTTTGATAATGATCTAAAAATGTTCAGGGCAATAGATTCATTGCAGATTCAATATATCCATCTCTCTCAGATTGGTGTAAGGTGAATTTAATGGATGTCATTGTGGCAAAATGTAAAAATATTTCCTTTTCAAAGTCATACAACCTTTATACGGCTGGTTATAGTATTGCAGAGACGTTGGAACGTGTACAATCTATACGAGGTCTGGGTGTTATGATGGATGTCAAGATGGACTTTCATTTACAGTATGAACACATATCTAACAAAGCGATGAAAATGTTAGGATTCATATGCAGATCAACTAAAGATTTCATCAACATTTTTTCTATCAAAATACTATACTTTGCATTGGTTAGATCAGTGATAAAGTATTGCACTTGTATATGGTCTCCAACTTACTTAAACCACAGTCATAATATTGAGAAAGTTCAGAACAAATTTTTTAGATATTTTGCCTTCAAAATGAATATGCCATCTAGAATTAATTCCCTCTACTATTGACTTGCTAAAATTCAGTTTAGACGAGCACATGCAGATATAATATTTCTCTATAAATTGTTAAACAACGTAATTAATTCCCCAACTCTTCTCTGTCAAGTCATGTTCCCCGAAAGAGGACATGTTACAACCAAACATTCAGTCTCGACTTTCATAGGCGTAATTAAGGAAATCATTCACCTTTGTTTAGAATTCTATCAAATGCCAATGAGACCAAAATTGATTTGTCTCACTTAAACTCACTCTTAAATATACTCTATGTGGTATAGATTTATAAGACTATTTTTAATCACAAGTCATTTTAATTTTCTCTATATAGATTGATTTATTTGATATATAGTTACTAAGATAGTTAACTCCATTAGGTGAATATATGTATAAATATTGAGGGTTACCCGTTGAATAAATAAATAATTGAGGCTGTCATTATTATACATAGTAATAGTCAATACATTTATAAAATTACTTGGTCCAACTTATTACCAACAGCGATATAAATAAGTTGATATTGTTTGAAATACTAAGCTGTACTTGCCAACAAATATGGCATTATTCATTATATTTCCCTTCTAGGTCTACAAGATGTTATTTCATAAATCAAAGCTCAACTTGAAATCTGGTTTGGGTTTGGGAACGGGACGACTGATCCATTATCTGAATACTGAGAACTGTGGCGATTCCATTAATTTATTCCTGATCCCGGACATTGATATAAATTCTGGTGAGATTCTTTACACTATTTCTTTTTTCAGATGTTTCTGTTGCTCCACTAGAAAGTGAACATTTTCTTTCGAATGAGAAATATAATAAATTTTCCATTTACTTTATGCATATGAATATATCTTTATTGTTACAAAGATTGAGAACCAACCCGGTAATTTTTTTTCTGTATACATAAGAGAAATATCGATAATTCCCTATTTTCGACGTTGTATAAACATAACCTGACTCATATTTAGGTCATGGAAAGTACATACAAAATATGATGACATTTTTGAGTATGGACATATGCGTAAAAAAATTTAACTTACAATTTGTATCATTCACTCACACCACTACTATATGACCTAAATTATAGACCTGATTATCAGATAAATGCGAGAAATTATTGCCTCATGGATAATAAGGAAAGCATGTTCCTAACCTAACATATACAATTACAAAATGTGCAAAATAAATTTCTAAGGACCATGGCATACAAACTAGGGTTGGTTATAGGTGAATGCAGTTACAGTGAAGTGATGAATATATTATCCCTGTCGAGTCTTGAGGATAGAAGAACAACGGCGACATTGGTTTATCTATTCAAAATTATATCTGGTATCATTGATTGTCCGGAAATTCTATCTCTTATCAACTTCAACGTTCCACAGAGGTCCACTAGACAAAAAAACCTATTTTTTACATCGTATCACTCAACCAACTATGGTTATCATTCTCCTTTATCTGAAATGTTGAGACTGGGAAATAAATACTGTGATAAAGTCAATTTTTTCTGTGATAATCAAAATACTTTTAAAAAACAAGTCTCTCGTTCATTAGTCATATAAATGTATTTTATTAGTTAATACTGTCTGTTTTTATTGTCTTTTGTTACACACATAAAGGTATTTATAATAATTAGTATAGTATAGTATAAGCTTTTATTGTTATACAATTTATTGTAAACAAATATTGGGGTTCACCCGTAAATAAATAAATAAATACAACATAAATCTAAAGAAATGAACTTTTAACGTTCAAGCCAGTCTCGAATATACACCTACACAGTAGGTTGAATGGACTGACGTCTATCAGGAATCAAATACTCCCCTGGCCAATACCACGAACGGCGTTGGATTATATTCGACAGGCGTCAGTGTAGGAATCATCACAGAAAATTTCTTTCATATGCAATTGGCAATACAACTGAAAGAGTCGACCCTCAATTTTGGAACGGGCACGGTTGCAGACCGGTTTCGGGCTCATTAGCCACTCATTGGTGCAAGATAGTGGCCATCATCGACCTAAAGTCAATGATATTCCATAATTGAAAATCGGAATTCTTTCAGAGTATTTCATTCTGCTTCCTAAGTTGGAGCGAACAACAAAATGTCACTCCATCTAGTGGACGAGGTACTAACCAACTGCATATCCGAAATTTGCCAGTTTCAGTGAGCTATGCTTGAAGACTGGCAGTCAGTCCATTCAACCTACTGTGTAGGTATATTCGAGACTGGCTTGAACGTTTAAAGTTCATTCCTTTAGAATTAAAAAAAATATACAACATATACAAAAGTTTTCACATCACATGGAATCAAACTTCAAATCAGATTCACAACAAAAATTTTTAATGAAGTCGGTCACCAGCAGTTTTTTGGCATGTCCTTGAGCTCTCTCGGCAATTCGGTTTTTATGTCCTCAATCGTTGCAAAACGCCATCCTTTCATGGGTCTCTTCAATCTTGAGAACAGGAAAAAGTCGCAGAGGGGCAGATCTGGTAAATACGTTGGCTGCGGAACAACCATGTGGCAAGAACTCTTTATGCACACAGTTTTTGAAGAAAACTGTGCAAATGAAACTTGAACATTCAACTGTATCAATAGAGTGTATCTTCCATCAAAATATGAATACGTAATGAGTTATTTTATGTGAAGTTTCATGAATGAAGTATTTATTTCTGCCAATGCAGAAGATGAGTCTTAAATTGATATTTGAATTTTTTAACACTATGGTTTTTAAGTTCTGAAGAAATTGAGTTGTAGAGGCTATATACTTGATAACTAAACGAGCGTCTGAAAATTTCCGTCACAAAAGAAGAAACACTCGATAATCCTCTACTTCTAATATTTACGTTGTGTATATCAGTGCGATAAATAATTTCACAATGAAGATACCCTGGCTTTTTATTGACAATAATACTATGACATATATTAGCAAAATGTAGCTTCCTCCTCTTCTCCATATTCAGCAATCTGATTTCCTCTAGTTTATGCGAAATTCTTTGCCGTCTTCGTACTCCAAAAATTAGACGTAGACATGAATTCTGAACTTTTTGATTTGTACTTGACCTTCTGTGAAAAGTTTGTAAACATTTTTCTGACTCGCCGAACACGGAAAACACTTCCAACTTTTATGCCTCTCACCAATAAACTAACCATGCTGAACAGCTGAAGCTGTGAACATATGTTCGAAACGATTGTACCAACATTGAAAAATCGCTAATCGAATGTTCGTAGCCCGCGAAATTCGAATATTCACCTATTTTTTGAACAGTCCATATATGTAGAGAAGCTTACTAGATGTGAATTGTTTAGTTCCCAAACAATATGTTTATTTTTCAGAAGGCTCAGTTCAGTGCCATTAATTATTAAAAAAAGTAGGGTTACTAATAAAAACATGTTTCAGTTATTCAAAAGGTCATTCAATCTAAAATCTCCAACATTCCGAATATTTAATCTAGTGTCCGACCGAAAGATGGGTTTCGGTTGAGTTTCGGCAAAAAACGGGTTTCGGTGGCAAACCTGCCGAAACTACGACCGAAACCGAAACTGAATTCGGGAGTTCTCGCGCTGTGATGGGTCATGTTCGGCGCGTTGAATTTCATACAAGTAACGAAGACATTTTGCCGCGTCCACGTGCCTAATCATGTCGTGACTTAATTTGTGATTTACTTTGTTTATTACAAAATATTAAGTATCTATTATGATATTAGGTAACAACTTAAATAAGTAATTTTATGTTCAATATTTTTTAAAAACCATCAATAATATTCAAAAGAAGTATCTACACCTACTCAAATAAACACCTCACCTATTTTGAGTATTTTTAAGGTGCAATTAATATTTTTCCTTAAATAAGGGGTTGTTAGGTTGATTTGTGGATTATCAATGAGTAAAATTGTCAAAGACTGCATAACGTAGTGATTTTAAGATAAAAAATAAAGACTGATCGAGTATAATAACGTTTTCTTTATTTTTCTTCAAAACATATTCCTTGTAAGGAAGTTTCGGTTTCGGTCATAAAAACCAGTTTCAGTCGGACACTAATTTAATCCCAATATTCTCAACAAATGAAATGGTTCAAATGTATTTCAGATATTATTTACACTGGCCATCCACCACTCGAAGACATTGTGAAGAAGCTCAGAGCAAATATTTTGGGTTCTACCAGAAATCCTCTCACCCACGTTCAGTTAACAGAGAAAACATGGTTGATTTATTGTACCAAGGTGTGGGATACTGTGAAGAAAAGTTCATTCTTTGTTGAATATACAAAACTAATGCCGTGAAAACAAGGACTGAAAAAAGGAGAGTAGATCACAATAACTGTTCCGAGTTATTGTGAAGAACTAGAAGTGTGAAAGTAATGCTTCTGGCATATTTTCGGTTGGGTGAGATGAAAATCTTCCAGCTTGTATTGTCAGAAGTACAATTTAAATTGTGACACAGGTAGGATGATGAAGGTTGGTATGTGATGGAATCGACAGATACTTGATGAAAATCATTAACGTGTTCAAGAAACAATTGATTGTGAGATTTCCACTACACAGTTTTACAAAAACGCAACAGGTGTTTCGCTATACAATAGTTTCTTCAGGCGTGTATATACTGTATATAGCATAGCAAAACACGCGTTGCATTTTTGTGAAACTGTGAAGTGAAAATCTCACACAGTGTTTCTTGAAGATGAAGGTTGGATTATTCTTATTGTGTTGGTAATCTTCACTTGTATGTTGTTACAAATGAAAGTTGAATTTCTTATTTGTATTATGAAAATTACCATTTCATGACTAAGTTATATTTTTGATGAAATTTAATCAACATCTTTTTTGTTGAAGAGTCCAGACTTACCAATATTCTTACCTTAAATTTGAATGTTTTTATGTCACTAGAAAAACATTTTTGAAATTAAGCAAAACAATAAACGAATTTTCAATTCTATAACTTTTATTTTTCAAACTAACAAATATTTGGGGATATTAGTTATTCGGGGAACAATGTTTCATATAAAAGCGCGCGCGCCATCCAGCCAGTAAAGTGCTATACGTGGGTTGGTGAATACTGTGAGTGGTGTTATTAGCAAGTTTTTAATACTCGATTCTTCACTTTGGCATTTTTTAAGACAAAATTATGTCGGAAGCAAAAAAGAAGAAACGGCAGTATACCGCGGAATATATAAAATATGGATTTATTGAAAATCCCACCATTTTATCTTCGCCTGTGTGCCTGCTTTGTCAAAAAACATTTTCGAATGAAGTGATGAAACCCTCAAGGCTACAAGATCAATGAAAGATGAATAAAATGCATACCGATAAAAAAAAGTGTGACTTATTTTCAAGAACTGGAAAAGAAAAACTCAGCTCAGCAAACTGTGTCAAAACTTTTTTCAGCGGCTTCTAAGCAAGACGACGACGGCCTCCGAGCTTCCTACAATATCTCCTTGCTAATTGCTCAAACAGGTAAACCTCACACTCTTGGAGAGGATTTAATTTTACAATAAATGAGTAATAACTACTGTGTTTGCCTGTTGAAATACATCCGTTCATTTCTGATACATTTTTGTTCAGGAGTTTGAATAAAATCATCCTAGTTCCTGAATCCATGACTTGTTCTGTTGTCTCGTACCCGCTCAAAAATTATTGGTTTGTTTCTTATTGTTTCACAGGTGTCTACTATTCGGTTTCTTAGATCTTCCTCGTTCGCTACTGGAGTCTTACAAACTAGTGACTTCAAATGTCCCCAAAAATAAAAATCTATCGGGTTTAGATCTGGGGACCTTGGTGCCCACACCTGGTTAGGTTCTTCTACACCCCTACCGATCCATCGATTTGGATAGACTGTGTTAAGGAATTCCCTGGCTACAACGCTCAAATGGGCCGGAGCCCCATCATGCATAAACCACATGCGGATACGAATTCCTAATGGTACATTCTGAAGTAGTCCCAGCAATTCATTTTATAAAAAGTATCTGTAAGTTGCGCCATTCAGTCGGAGCGGAAGAAAGAAAGGACCTATCAAGTAATTATCAATTATTGCCGCCCATACATTTACAGAAAATTGATACTGATAATGCCTTTCACTAACTGCGTACGGATTTTCGAGAGCCCAAACATGGTTGTTATGAAAGTTTGTGATAGCATTTCGGGAGAAGTTTGCCTCGTCCATGAAGAGTACATATCTTAAATATTGAAGATTTCCAGCCAATTTTCTCAAAAACCATTGACACATAGTAATGCGCTGGGGAAAGTCTCGTGGCAAAAGAGCTTGTACCCTTTGAATATGGTATGGATAAAACTGTTGATCGTGGATAATTCTCCAAACTGTGGACTGAGTAGAATTGACAGCTTCAGCAATTACTCTTGTGCGTTCAAAACAGCTTCTTCCAATTCTGGGGTTCAGACTGCTCGTGGTCTTCCAATAATATCGGATGCCCTCTTAAAGCTACCTGTTTCTGCCAAACGACGGTGAAGACTAGCAAATGTTGGAGCTGAAGGCAATACTCGATTAGGAAATCGCTCCTGGTAAATACGTCTTGCTTCGCGCGCATTGCCATCCGCAAGGCCATAAACGAAATGCATATCGGCTAAATGAGCACTATTGTTTAAATTATCCATTTTTTCAAAATAAGTGTTTTATACTTCTACTTATGGAAACTTCAACAAAACGTCTAACTGTCACAAAATATGTAATTACCAAAACAACTCACAAACGTCAAATTCATTTCCAAAGCATTCTTGTGAAAAAAGCAAAATATTCGTAATAACTTCAACATGCATCGATTATCAAATAATCGACTTGAAGTTTTCAAGTCCAAATATTTATAAAATATCTGTATACGCTAACCTTAAACGGAAATGAGGATACCAAAGAATATTATAAAAAATATAAAAAGTTATATAAACATCTATTGAATGTATCAAAAAAGCAATATAATAATGACATTATTGCAAACGCAAAAAATAAATCTAAAACGGCCTGGACTATTATAGGATCAGGCAAAAAATCAAAAAGGAGGTTGGAACCAATTCACTTAACTATTGATAACAATATTGTACAGGTACCCCAGAATGTAGAAAGTCACTTTGTTGAATATTTTAATACCATACCCACACTACTGGCTAGCAATGTTAAAGAATCATCAGAAGAACCCACACTTAGATACTTCAATCCTTATACTTTTTCATTTAAACCAACAACAGAACCAGAAATAAATGATATAATCAAAAACCTGAAATCCTCTCAACCTACTGGTAATGATGAAGTAAGTCCTAATCTTTTAAAAAAGTGTTCGTCATTTATTGCAGGCCCACTAACTTTTGCCATCGACTGCTCGTTGGAAGAAGGTATTTACCCAGATAGCTTAAAAATTGGAAAAATAAAACCTATACATAAAAATGGAAATAAAACCCAAGTTGAAAATGACAGGCCCATCTCTGTCCCCAGTGCTTTTGCAAAGGTTTATGAAAAATGGGTGTCAAATTCAGTCGTTTCATTCTTTGATCTTCATAAGCTATTCAATGAAAATCAATTTGGTTTTAGAAAGGGACGTTCAACAACACAAGCTATAATAAAACTACTATAAGAGCTGTTCCTCAAGGCTCCATATTGGGACCTATTCTCTTTCTTATCTTTATTAATGACCTGCCACTCGCTTCACCACAATCCAAATGTGTACTCTACGCAGATGACACGACTGTGATCCATTCTGACAGAAATCCAAACAGACTTAAGCAAACAGTAGATGACTCTAATTCTATCATACATGAGTGGTTTCTAGCAAACAAACTAAAGGTAAACGACAGCAAAACTGAAAATATCATACTCTCTTTATGAAACACCGAAAATTTCTCTTGCTCAGAGTCGGTGAAATTCCTAGGAGTCTATATAGACACTAAATTGTCATGGCAGCATCACACAGAAAACATCTGCAAAAAACTATCTTCTCCATCCATCTAATACGCACCCTATCTCAAACAGTGAACAACGCCACACTTCTCTCCGCTTATCATGCATTTATCCATTCCTCTTTATCATACGCAATCATTTCTTGGGACACTCTCCACACGCTGCAGAAGTCTTCGGCATGCAAAGAAAAGCTATAAGGGTAATGTCAGGCTTGAAGTACAGAGATGACTGCAAGGACTCCTTCAAAGTTCTACAAATACTTACAGTTCCCAGCTCTTACATTTTCCAGTGCCTTATATATATTAAAACCAACTTACATAAATACACAAGTCACTCTGACATACATAATCACCACACCAGAAGTTCCAAAAACATATACCTAGATTATCAGAGAGTTTCAAAAAGTCGCAATGGAATCAACTACTATGCTCCAAAATTTTTCAATGCTCTACCCGAATCGATTAAGAATGCACATTTGAACACATTTAAGGTCCAAATTAAGCAACTGTTACTCAGGGGTGCCTTTTACGATTTTAACGAATTTTTAAATGCTGATTTTACAAAGATTTGTGAACTGTAGTATTTACAATAAGTTTTTTTTTTGTACTTTGTATTACTATATATATGTATATTACCATTTTTATGTCTTTATCCTTTCCTGACTTGTGTAAACATTTTTAATGTCATCACACCAATAAAGAATTATTATTATTATTATTTTNTAGGTCTGTTTCTTAGTTTTTCTATCCTTTTCTTAACATGTTTCTTGACCTTAGTTTTCCTTTTTTCTGCTTTCGCTTCTTTCACAGCCTGCTTCCTTGCTTTTTTTTCTTCTTTAGTCTCATTTTTTGGCCTTGCTGAATTCCTAAACTTGTTCTCTTTTTTTGACTCTGTTTCGCTATCTTCATCCTCATATTCTCTCTCTGTTTCGCTATCTTCATCTAGTATTTCACGCTGTTCGATTATGGAAATTGATTCAGATTCATCATACTCAGTCTGATCATCATGATTTTCTTCTTTTCCATTTAATATTCCTGACTTTGTTTCACTCTGTTCTAGTATTTCAGGCTGTTCGATTATGGAACTAGATTCAAATTTTTTGTCATACTCGGTCTGATCGTCATGATTTTCTTCATTTCCATTTAATATTTCTGGCCTTTGAACAGTACCACTCAAATCAGATTTCAGACCTACTAGAGTTTTGTATATTAAATTTTCTGAATGACCTGCTTTCGCTTGATTGATGTCTCGCTCAAAATCTATCACCTCTGTCAGTCGTTGTGGAATATAAGCGTGTAAAAATACCTCTTCATCAACCTGAAAGAGACAGAATTATATTATTATATTTGTTATTTGTCGATGTGTTGAAGTAGCACAGATAGACGTGTCACTTTTCTAAAATTCATTTATCAAATATTTCAGAAGCTCAAGACATTAAGGGCTTCTGGCAACAGACCTCACCTGACCTTTTATCAACTAGACATAAATGACAAGGTTGGTTGGGTAACAGGATCAATATTTTCTTTAAAAAAACATTTTTTTTCTTGCCGACGTTTCGAATTTAATTGAATTCTTCTTCGGGGTCGAAAAGTAGTTTTTCGTGTTGAGCCCCGAAGAATAATTTAATTAAATTCGAAACGTCGGCAAAAACAAGCGTTTTCTTGTAAGAAAATATTGATCCTGTTACCCAACCAATCTTTTTTCAGAAAAATTATTGGATCACTAAACTAGTTAACTGAATAAATGAAACACTTGAATTTCTATCAGGGGCATATATAAAACGACATAATTTGAAAGTGAGTATTACAAAAAAGAGAATCAGTTGAAGTGGTGCAGTAGAAAATCTATCTTGCTAAAAGTGAAATGACGAAAGACATTATATAGAAGATATCTATGAACAGCTTAATAACAAGAAGAATGTGCTAGGTATATTCTATGATTTAACTCGTGCATTTGATATGGTTAACCACAACTTACTTTTTCGTAAATTATACAGCATAGGAATTCGTGGTATACCACATGATTGGATAGTATCATATTTGACAAATCGTTCTCAAGTGACGGTAATAAATAATAGCAAATCTGACTGTAAGAGTGCTGAGTTAAGAGTGCCCCAGGGGTCTATATTGGGACCAACTCTTTTTATAATATTTTCAAATGACATTTACGATACCTGTACCACACCAAATAGAATGATACTTTATGCTGATGACACAAATATACTCTTAGCCCATAAAACCTTGGGAAGTCTGGTAAACTTGGGTAATTATGCATGTGATGAATTCAGTAAATACTGTAGCGACAATGACCTTGTCTGCAATTTTTTACCTAAGAACGGTACTTCGAATCCAGATCTATTGAACAACATCAATATGTGTGGTGAAACTCTGGAATACTGCCAGGTAGCTAGATTTTTTAGGAATACTCCTGGATCAAAAGCTAACATGGGAGGCACATATCGACAGTTTATGTGTAAAGGTTGGCAGCGCAAACTATGCAATTCGGAATCTACGAGACACTGTCTCTACAGAAGTTATAAAACTCATGTATCATGGACTGGTACAATCAAGAATACAGTACGGATTGATCTTCTGGGGTAACTCTGCATATACTGACCGCATTTTTAAGGTTCAGAAAAGAGTCATTGGCTGTATGGACAAGTTTCGTCCACTGGACTCATAAACCACTGTTTAAAAAATTCAACATCCTACCATTGCCGTGCTTATACATATTACAGCTGGTGTTATTTATCTATGATAATAAACACCTATATCCAAAAAACTCTGATATACATAATTACGCTACTCGGGGTGAACATACTTTATACCACCCCTACTCTCGCTTGAGTGTGAGTCAAAATTCCCCAAAATACTTGGGTATTAAATGTTTCAATAAAATAACAACTTTCATAGGGATCAATAAAAGTAGAACTGTAATGAGGAATGAACTATATGATTTCTTGTTGGATAACTGCTTCTACAGTATGGATGAATTTCTTGCTTTTAGTGCTTAGATAAATGACTTAGTTTATTTTATACATGTAGTCTTCTCTTTTAAGTTTGTTCAAGATCATACATTTGTGTTTTGCTTTTAGCGTTTTACTTTTGACCAGTCCAATAAGTTTTCTGATGTATTTAGTCTTGTAATTATGTATGTGTGAAAATTTTAGTGATGAATGAAACTATTTCTATTTGTTAAATAGAGCTGGAGCCAGTTGATCTATTCATGCTGTAAATCAATGGAATTTGAAAAGAAATCCGTTGGGCAAAGATATCACATATTCAAAAAAGTTTCTGCAGTCAAAAATTTGATAATATGAAATCTAAGTTGAATCGCGTTTAGTGTTTTCAGTTGTCGTTTCGGCTTCGACTTTTAAGCCATTTTTGAAAAGGTACTAGACTGAGGTGTCAATCTGCCTACTCCTCGGGTAGTAACATGCTTGAAGGGTTTTGTGACTTGGCGCCGGGGTCTCAATCTACCTATTTCCTAGGTCTCGTCACTGGTCTCCGCGAATGTCCCTGAACGAGTGGAGGGCGGACCAGTAGTGTGAGCGAAGATGGAGTTGGTAGTGGAATCAGGGATGTTTCTTGCAGAAGCGAGGTGTGCAGTTTTGCGAGATGTACGGCGTGATAGAACCATGACAAAACCTGTGAGTGACAGATTAAGATCCCGGCGTCAAGTTACAAAACCCTTAGAGTGTGTCATTATCTAAGGTGTAGGCAGACTGAGACCTCAGTGTGTATTTTAGAACTTAGCATTATTATAAATGTTATTCGCTCGCGCTAAGTTAATCATCGTAAATTCAAAGACCTTGAAGAATTACAAGCTAATTATAGTGATTTTATCTTACACACGGCTGTCGAGTGGTTAACCAAAGGAAAAGTATTAGAATGGTTCTTTCAATAAAAACCCACAAAAGATTTTTTTTTACAACAGAATGGCAAAGAATTCCCTCGACTACAGCAAAGTGAATGGTGGACACTTGTGGCTCTTTTGACCGATACTATTATGAAATTTAATAATCTTAATTACAAGATGCAAGTAACTAACAAGATAATTGGGCAAATGACAAATAAATGTTCGCGTTTGGAAACAAACTACAACTAAACATAAGTTAACTCGAAGCTGCGGCCCGGCGCTGACACCCACATTGTCCTGTGTAGCCCTTGGCCAGAAAAGTGTGACGACCGCTGAGTTACATAAAAAACTCTCAACCAATAAATAATTATAGATCATTACCTGTTCTGGGGAGGTTGTTTCCGTGTTTCCAGCAGCTTTTTCTGCAAAGGCATCTAGACACTCCTCCATATTACTTTCTGTGATACTGGAATCGGTTATGAAATCAAACAAATCTTTGATGCTCATAGTAACAACGTTTTTTTTCTCGAAGAATTCTGTAATATTTTTGCAATCCATCCTTAGAAAGTGAAGAGCACGGGGATGGTCAACTTCAACAGACTGTGAAACATCTATTATGTAAATTTGTCCATTGTGGTAGAGCATATTGTATTCAGAGAAATCGGCGTGAACCATTTTACATTTGTTATACATCTGCCACATCATGACAACAGTTTCCCTGTAGGCTTGCCTGGCTTTTGACAAGCTCAGCTCAACATCTTTCAATTTTGGTGCTGGCCAACCTGGAAATTAATTTTGGTGAGTGGAATAATATTTGTGGGGGTTTTGCAAAATTGTATTTGTAACCAAGTTTGTTTGCTGCGAGAATAATTACCAAATGCTATACTAAATGAAAAAATAAATTGCTGGATGTAGGCGTTACTACATGGTAGGAAATCATAATGAAAAGAGAAATGAAAAATTTCTATGTTTTTTGCCACTTTTATTTGTAACTAACGTTACTGCAGTTTCGTCCTATACGGACATTTTCAAACTTATACAAAAAACATAGAAATTTTTCATTTCTCTTTTCATTAAATAAAAAAATAATGAACATTCATCTCACCCTCACTAATAATAATAATTTTTATTAGTCTCAAGAAACACAGTTTTTAGACAGGTCAATACAATTTCTAAAATAGGTTTTAGAGGGTGAGATTTGTCAATATAGTTTTTAAAAAATGCTTGTAGATTAATTAGATTTACGAAAAAAATACAAGTTAACAAGATAAAATTCCAATCTTATAAGGCATGACTAAAATGTAATGCCATGAGCTTTTACAAATTATAAATCACATAGCTAACGTATTATATATATTCAAAATTGATTCAAAGTTCGGACGGTGACCACACGGTGTCTCTTTCTTCTTGGATAACATCGAAAAATTGATCAATTTCATATAAAGGATGTTTGGTTAATATTTTCTTCAATAAGTTTCTGAATCTTCTAAATGACAAGTTACGAAATTCGGCAGATAAGGCATTGTATAGCTTAATTCCTATATTATCTATTCTTTTCAACCTATTAGCTGTAGGAACAAGGTTTGATTTATTTCTTGTATCATGTTGGTGTATATCCTTGTGAGCAACTTCATTCAACAAGTTTTGTTGAACAAAAAGCACATTTTCATAGACAATAACTGAATATAGGTCATTATTTTAAGTTTTACAAATATTGGTCGACACTTTTCATCATAATTGGCAGAAATTATGCTTCTTACTGCAGATTTTTGAAATATTCTATTAAGATGTACCTTTGATGCATTATTCCAATTGAGTATACCATACCTAAGGACTGAATGAAAAAGAGAATGATATGTTGCAAGTGCCGCACTTTGATTCACTATTTTTTTAATTCTTCTAATAGCAAAAACCATCTTACTAAGTTTACTACACATGTTATTTATGTGGTCTATCCATTTCATTATTTGCACTATAGTTGGGGTAGTGATTTTAAACAAACTACAACAGAAGAAAGTAGGAGCATAACATGCAAGGATTTTGATGAAATAACCATCGTTATTTAGGATGAAAATATGTGTAAGTACTGAAATGTATTTACGAGTGTATTTATAACAAGAATGTGAATATTATGAAATAATGCCTTGAAAGTTTTTAGTCCTATTGTGTTATTGCCAACATATAGTAATGAAGACTAGTAGTATTATGGTGGAATATCAATGCCTAGAAATAAATTCAGAAGATATGGGTATAAAATGTTGTAGTATTCTCACCAAAGATCCAATGGACGTCCAAAGGACGACCCAAAGCTAAAAGAGTACTGGTTTCATTTTTATCAAGAGGTGAAAGTATGCACTTCGAACTTCAACTTCAAATTGAACTCGTTTACATTTTCCAAAGAAGTGAAATACTTTGGCGTACCTAACTATCCAAAAAGTTACTTGGAACAATCACAAAAATAACATTTTCTCCAAAGTGACAGTGGCAACCTCGATATGTCATTGAATATTTGAAGAAATGTAGGGTTTGAAAATTAAAGTGATAATATTAAACAGTTGTACTTAGGCTAGTAGTGTAGCAAGTGAACTTGTGAAATAATTAGTTTTTTACATTTCTACTATACCGTTTAAGTGTAGTATCACTAAAAGTAGTTTGATCAATGAATCATAATCATAAATACATGACCACAGACTAAAATAATATCATGGTAAATAAAATGTAATGAGTAATCGAACATATATAAAGTAAGGATTTCATTTGGAGAACAATTATTTTTTCTGCATTCACTATATACATACATACATACCTACCATTAATGTTTGTATTGTACATTTTTGAGTTGTCCTGTTTATTGTATACATTTTTCATTATTTTCTTGATACAGGGTCGGACTGGCCATGTGCTTGGAGTAACATTTTCCATCCAGGCCCAGATTTGCCGGGTCCCTCACAGTATCATGAAGGCCTCATTGATGACTTAATCCAGAGTTTATTCCCTCACACTATTGTGCAGGCCTACCTACCCAGTAGTCTTTCATGACTTGTCAAAAACCTTTGACTGTGTAAATCGCAGTGACTGTATTTTATTTATTTCATTATCTACTGGATAGTTTACATTTATCATTATATTATATTGATCCAATATCGCGAATCATGGTATACAAAGAAATATGTACATTTTATTCATTCCTTCTCCTGTGGGGTGATGTCACATTACCGAGGAAGTCCCACGACCCACCTATTCCTTGCTTGTGGGTTACTACCTCTTACTAACGAGTATATCCCAGACAAGTGGAGGGCCGCTCGCTACCAAGGCAGCTCTGGCGCAGTCTGACCCTGCTTTATACTTGATGAAACAGACACTAATGACAATTACTCACTAGCCTTGAGAAAAATAAACGTGTTCCAAATGAAATCCTTATCAGATATGATTGATTGTACCTAATTCAAATCTTACCTTTTTTTCCTATAAAAGTCATAAGGAGGACATGAGACTCGAGTGAAATAGGCTGAGGTACATTCAAACCTTTAGAGTGCATCCGAGCTAGGTTTCTCCTCTCTTTTTCTGCCCAAGTTTTAATCATGTTTCTTGTAGAACTTCTACGGTAACCGTGTCTAAATCTGTAATCGCCAGTAATGTATTTATCCCTATCCTTGAACACCAGAATGGACGTTTTGAAGATTTTGATCGCATAATCTTCGCCACTATCTGACACAGCATGATAAACATTTGCTTCCTTGCCTGTTGAAATACATCCGTTTATTTCTGATACATTTTTGTTCAGGAGTCTGAATAAAATCATCCTAGTTCCTGGATCCATGACTTGTTCGATTGTGGCTCTATCACGTTTGTCCTTCTTATGTTTCTCATTTTTATTTAAGCTTTTGTGGTTTACGCGAAACATATACGTAAAATCGCTCAGGAGATCATCTGTTAGTTCCCACATTTCCAAATTAATTTTGTTTGTATATTGGGATAAATTGTCACTAGTCTGGTAGTTGCTGACTTTGTTTCAACCCTACTGTAAAAGGTAATATTTAGTAAATGAAAAAATCAACCACGAGATTATCTTCTTGTTTCACTGAACTGTACCACAGATGACTTGAATAAAATAAAAATATAAACTGTCAGCTGTGATACTGCCCAAATGCACCGCAAAAAAAGCAATGGCCTTAGAATCCAGAGAGAGAGAGAGTTATTTCTCACTCTGGGCTCTATAGTCTCTATAGTGTACATGCAAGTTCATAGGATATAATTTTATTTTAAAATTGAGATACCTTTTCCCTTTTCTATAATATTATTTGGTTACGTCACAGTAGAATTAGCCATACTGTGGTTATGTGACATAAATCGTGTTATTTCTTCAACAATTTTTGTATTATAATTCCTATGTACTGTGAACATGTCAGATAGAGCTTTCATTCCTTTATTAATGAATATTTGATGCATATCTTGTCGGGAATAGTGTTGATGGGTCATTCTAAGAAAATGTGGTTATTGTTACAGGTTGTCGGCATTCACAATTTGGACTATTGCTAACCCCTATATGACCTAATTGCCGTTTGCCACTACATTCTAATAATACTCGTTATGTGTCTTCTGTCCATACCTATTTGGTATTTTCATGTACCACAGGTTTTTGAGTATAGTCAAATTGAGTCCTAAAATACATTTTACCTTTATTTTGAATTTTATGTTTCAATTTTGAGTAATATTTGTTTCAGCTGAGGTATGAAGTTTTTTTTCTAAATAGAAAGTAAGGAAGGAAGGAAGCAATCAATTTCATAAATTAACCCTATAAAAAGATGTATAGATCATGCCAAAAGTAACCTTCAAACATAAACTGGAAGAAAAAGCCCTATCGAAACAGCAATTTTTATATGAACATTGAATTACATGAAAGAAAAATACTTTCAAAATAGATACTTTTATAAGAAAGCTGAATTATATGAAAAACACTTTTCCCTATTCTGTTTGTATTCCTAACATTTGTATATGATCGAATCAGATATTCACAGGATTTTTACACAATATAATTAATGAAAGAAGTAAAATTTCACTCACATGGAACACCGTCATCCTCACTGCTAGACATCCAATGTTTAGCCGTAAGACACTTGCCTTATCGGCTCTTCAGTAGCAAATACGGATAACATAATAAGAAAACACTTCATTCGTTCATAATCTTTTCGAATTTTTTTGTCACGGAATGGGTTGAATCCACCCATGTCATCAATGCCAGTATGTAAATAACATTCATTTACTTATTTGATTAAATCCCAGACACAGGAATCTTGTTAAAATTGAAAGGGTATATTTTTTAAGAGATTAATTTTCGGGAATCTTTCAAAGGAAGATTCCCACATTTTTTGTATAAAGATAGAGAAGCAGAAGCGAAAACCTTTCACAATGACAAATGAAACATTATTTGTATTATCACTGAAAGGGCAGATAGTTGAAAAATGATCGCTGTTTTCACAGTCTTCAATCATCTCCCAATTGCTCCTGTATATCTGAAGAACTGTTTTGTTTGGATTTAATAATCTTGTACTATTACCATTATTCAAAACAATCATGTTAATATCATCCATTATTGTATTGATGGTTTTTTCCATTATGATTTGTCGTCCTTCCCAATAGAGATGTTTTCTTTTAATTGATTTAGTATATCTACATATAAATTCAATTCTAATCGGTTATTAGTGTTGATTCTCCACATATTAATTATTATATTTTGACACAAATTTTGATTATTCTTAAGATTTGGTTGGATACAATATGTCATTGAATACGATAGTGACTATGCCTCCGTAGCCGTCGTCTATATGTTGATCATTTTTGAAGTTACACTTGTTTTCGCGCGTTAGGGAAAAATGATAATTAAATTTTTACGATGCGCGCGCCACGACACCCTGAAGTTAGCTTTTTAAATTTATATGGCCATTGCTTATCAGTCGAGCGAATTTGGCCAGACTCGTCCTGTCCATAATGAACAGAAGCTTCGTCCGGAGGCGAGAGGTAATAGATATATACTATATTAATATTTCTATCTCCTAGCATGTTTACAGTTATTTACTTGCCCAGGAATTTATGTATGGAAAAAATACTTACATTTTCAAAAATGTTGATCAATCAGTCCAAAACTTGTTATTGAAGTGTTTATACTCAAAAGGAAGAGGTAGTCCGATGATCACACATTGAAAACTACAACACGTATCCAAAAGGGAGAGATAAACTATGATATAACTGTCCAAAGCAGCGCTTTTATTCAGAAATTTTCAGTTGTGCCAAAGTAAATTGAAAATAGTATTCAAAAGTACACGAAAGTGCCCACTTCAATTTCTTCTTCTCATTTGTGACAGAACCTTTGTGCATAGAAATTGATCAGACACTACTTGAGATAAAGCAACTCCTGGAGTATAGTGATTACTGTTAAGGTTCAGGCGTTGATGATGATGTCGATATATGTGGAATTTCATCAGCTCTTAAGGAATATATGAAATAGATTGAATATCAATTCAAATTCATAGCAGAATTTCATTTGACCACTCACTTGTCCACCAAAATTAAAGTGAATTTTTTGAAATCATGTAACGTAAAGAAAAAAACGAATATACAATATAGATTAATATTCATTCAGAAAATCAACGAATATTTTGAAAATTTGAATTTGGAAGTTTTGGAGAGGTTCACAAAACAACACAAGGCAAATGACAATTTTTACATTTTGGTACAATTGTGCCAAAATGATTATGCCACAAAGGAAATAAATTGACCCTCAGAGTAATAATATAAATATATTTTTTATTACTTTGAGAAATTAACGCATCAGTGACTGTCTGCATGTATGGCCGAAGCTGCTAGGGCTAAGAATCTAGGAATAATCAGCCGAATCACAGAATAGTGAATATTTGTTCCAAAACTAACACTTTCTAACAGCTACTAACCAACATTTTTTACACTTATAAGTGGATAGTATCCACTTATTTGATGAGGTTTCAAAAATTTTCAACTGTTATTTGAACGGAGCACCGATAGACACGTCTACTCACTATGGCTGTTCGTCATAATATCTCACCAATATTCTTACTTTAAATTCCAATATTTTTATATTGCTGAAAAACTGATGAAATATGCATACTTAGGTAAAACAATAAAAGAAATTTCAATTTTATTATTTTTATTTTTCAAACTAACAAATATTTGGGAGATGAGTTATTTGGAAAACAAAGTTTTCTTGACATGTGTGAAACTTCCAAAGAAACGAAAACAGAAATCAACTACAATGAAAACTCTACATAAAAGTATGTGGATAATTCAAAAATCGGAAGAAAAAACTAGCAATGAAACTGATAGTGGTTTAGCTGAAAACTTGATATTCGACCAACCTTATAGTCGAATATTCGACCAACCTTATAGTCGAATATTCGATCGCTGAATATTCCTCGGAACGTTGCCATTTGGTGCATCGCAAGATACATTCTTGCGTAGGCGGCGCGTGAACGGTAGGGGAGACTCGATCCAATTCGGATATTTTCGTTGTTGTATTACATATTCGAACCTTCTTGAAAGCTGAATTAGAAGTTCGTTTTAACCCCATAACTCAAGATCCAAACTTCTTGATTGTGACCTATACCCGAGGTTCAAACCAAACTTCCTGGGGGAGAAGAGGCAGAGTTGCTTTTTGATGGATCGAGTCAGTTTATACGGTATTCGAATCATAACTCGATTCCCTGATTCGAGACAGTACTCGAATTCTATGTTTGATATTCGAATATTGACTCGAGTTCGGCTGGACTCGAGTCTAGAAATTCGAGTCTGAAAATTCTAGTCCAGAACTAGAGTCCGATTTTCGAACAATCGGGAAAAATGAAAAGGAGTTAACTTCAAACAGCGTGTAAGTTAGGTTAAGAATAATGACACAACAATAATAAATCAATAATTCAGTTTAAAAATGGTTGGAAGAGTGCATTATGAATAAAAAAACCAACTGTATATTGTTATTGATTTTTTATATCGGCAAATAAAATTAATCGGCTATTTTTTTTTACTTTATTCTAATATTTGAATATTTTGCGTACGATCGTGGTGGGCAGCCCATTAAGTTACCACAAACTGTCAAATTTTCCCAAACGGAAACCACCCTTATTATTTCGCTATAAAGTTCAAAATTGATTACAGAAATTTGACAGATTTATATAGCTTGACGTATATATAGTACGGTTGGCAACGCTTGTACGAGCGAGTTAACCAAATTCGAATACGAGACTCGAGTCAGTTGGAGTTTGGACTCACATAAATAGAATCGAGTTAGCGAATCGATTCTTCCTGACTCGAGTCCGGCGTTCAAAATAAATTGGTATTCGAGTTCTAAAGCAGGAATCGAGTCTGACTCGAGCCAAACCGTACTCGACACATCGCATATATATATTGAAATACTGAGGTTTTTCAGGTTCGAGTTTGAACTGCCATGATCAGCTAGTGAAATTTTTATGAAAAACTGGTTTTCTCCAATTAAAGGCCATCTGTACAATTTTTTACAACAGGGTTGCCATCAGAGTTAAATTTCTGAAAATTGTAGAAATTGGATCTCTAATTCATCAAAAATACTTTCATGGAGAGAATGAAACGTAATTACAAAATTACTTTTTGCAAAATAGCACTAGCTTCATTAATTTCAGAAGCAGACAGCGAAATTGAAACTACGCCTTCAAATATGTAATATTTAGAAAATTAGATCGTTATTCAAAGATTTTTCTAACTTTTGGAACCCATTATTGGAATCCCTAACTTTTCATACTGGTAAGTACTAAGCTAAGTAAGATCACTTGAGGTATCAGAAATAACTGTCATATCATTCACGAATTGACATCGCAATAAGAACCAGAACTCAAATTTGTCCACAAGTGAACCCAACTTATTTGAAAACAGTTTGAAGCATTGGTCTTTTTCTGTATTGGATGGGTTTATAAGAATGCTGGTAGACTGTAGCCAGCCTCCAATGTTCGGGATAATCTTCTCTCTTCGACTTCTGCAAAGAAAAAGGTGGAGCTAAGCTATCGATAACGTAGGTCTTCACCATATAGGGATCTTTTTGTCTAGGGACTTTTATCTGGTTTCTAGTTCTACTTACAATTTTTCGCGGTACGCCAGCCTTAAATGCCATCTTATATTCTGACTTGGGCCTTTTTTCTTTTATTGACATGTTCTTCATCTCACACGCAACACAAAATTTATTGTTGGGTAGTCTACTCAAATATTTCTTGCAGTTTTGTTCACCGCACTGATCATGCTCACCCAAGTTGGGTGTACTGTGACGTAATTTATTGTATATGGAATTGTTATTGGTTTCTTTGGAGCTGTGAGAATGTTCGGATTCGTTCAAGTTGTAAGCACTTTTTGCGCGAGATTTATTACTAGAACTGCTTGCTTTTGAAATTGCAGATTGCTTCTCAACTTCTTTAGCACTTTGTGCACGCTTTTTTCTGGAGCTTGTCTCCGACTTATTGCTATCTAAACTAGGGGGATTATTGTTGGATCTATGAAATATATAATCCTTCTCCTCTGATCCTTTGTTACTGTGATCAAATAAGGGACCACAACCGTGGATGCCGTCGCATTTTCGTTCCACTTCCTCTTCTTTTGGGGTATGTACAAGATTGAAAACGGCCGGGGCAGCAGATCCATTGGAACCATCAATATGGGCAGATCTCTGGGGTTCATCTTTGGGATCCTCTGGGGTCATGTCCCAGCATATAGCTAAATCCATAGGAGTGACTTTACTTTGTCGTAAAAAACGCCATTTCTTATCGAAACTTGATATGCTGGTGTCTTCTTCTTTCATACGCCCACATGTTTTTGGCCTGTATATTTTGAGTTTTGTGCATCTTGTGGGTCCATACCCTGGATAACCCTTCCATCCAACACCTAAAAAAATAAACAACTTGAACAAAAGTGAACTCAATAGTATTTTTCAAATGCCCTGAATAATGAAAATGTATGCCTTCAATGCAATATGTTCCTAGATGATTTAGATGTTTGTGATGATATTATCATAATAAATATTATAATATTTAGTCTCAAGAAACACACAGTTTTTAGACACGTCAATACAATTTCTAAAATAGGTTTGAGAGGGTAATATTTGTCAATATAGTTTAAAAAAAAGATGCTTGTAGATAAATTAGATTTACAAAAAAAATACAAGTTAACAAGATAAAATTCCAATCTTATAAGACTTGGCTAAAATGAAAAGCCATGAGCTTTTACAAATTATAAACACATAGCTAACGTATTATATATATTCAAAGTTGAGTAAAAGTTCGGGAGGTGACCACAAAAGTGTCTCTTTCTTCTTGGATAACTTCGAAAAATTGATCAATTTCATGTAAAGGATGTTTGGTTAATATTCTTAATTCAAAGAACAGTACATCAAAGAAGTTTGTTGTTGTTGAGCTACAATGGGTTAATGTTATTACAAAATACTTAGCTAATAGGCCAACTGACATTACAAAACTATTTATTTTATACCGTAAAGGTAAACATATTAAACAAAATATTGGGCACAATACTATTAGTAAAGTACCATATGTCGTGGTTAATTATCTCAAATTAGAAAATCCTGAGTGTTATACTGGGCATTCTCTAAGACGTAGCTCGGCAACACTTCTCGCAGAAAACGGAGGATATATTGAGGAATCAATAGCTGATAAAAAGAGAATCGCAGAATTAATGCAAAAATGTCATTTACCCAATGAAGCTTCAAATATAACTTCTTCTGCAAGTCAAGATGCTGTCTTAGAAAACGTCCATGTTGAAGATAATTTAGTGGAAAAAGGTAATGAATGCGTTCAAAATACGAGGATTGTTTGTAACACAGAAGTGAATTTACCTGGTCCAAATGTTAGTTCCATTAATACAGGAAATGCTGGAATACACACGATATCTCACAATTGTACAATTAATTATAATTTCAAATAATTTTCAAGCGTAGGTATTATCAATGTTCAATTTCCTACTTCTAGTTGATAATTAAGTTGACAAAAGTTTCTGTGAATATCTTTACAATTATAGAATTGTTCTCATTATTTACCTAGGTGTTTTTTTATTATCATTATTTACCAAGGGTGAGAAATATTAATTCTCGTTAGGGGAATGGAGTAAATAACAGCAATTTCTTAGGTTAGTAGTGAAAAAAACTGTTTTATCTCTATTCATCATTGATAATCGGTTTGTGCATAGTTTGAATTTCATTAGAATTTCACAGAGCTGCCATTCAGCATTTCATTAGAAAAAACGGCGCTTGATCCTTGATGATATTACGTTGTTTCAAAAGTTTCCTACCGTTTTTATGAGTCTACTTTAAACTTCAATAGCTCGGTGAATACTCATTGAATTTAATCGAAATGAGTGTCATTTGAATCAGTCCACTTTCATCGATCAATTCCGTCCGCATAAAAATTGGGTGCGGGATTCGATGAAATCGACGAAGGCCCTTTGCTTGGCCCTAATTGGCGAAGGTTTTACCGGTGAGAAAGTTATCGCAGTGCTTGAAAAGATGGTAATTGGTTGGCGGGAGGTCTGTGGAGTATGGGAGTATATGAGCATTATAAATTAGAATTTATATATTAGTATCTTAAAAATGTTTAAATAGAAAGCGTTATATTTTTAGGAGTGACTAATTTTTGGGAAAGAGTTTTTGGCTTTCTACTACTCCATCTTGATACAAAAAAATGTGGGAATCTTCCAAAGAAAGGAAGGAAGTAATCAGTTTTAAAATAAGTAACTCTATACTTATAGAGTTACTTATTTCATGGACTTTCTTTCTTAAAAAATGTATTCTTCTAATTGCTCCCGCCAGTATTACAATCGATTCTTCAATTTCATTTATATGACTTTCCAAATGTAAAATCTTCTATCAATTATCAGGCCTAAATATTTGTTTTTCAACTTGGTTAATCAATTTGTTCTCAATTTCAAAATTCAATTTTATATTGTTCATATCTTGCTCAGGATACAATTCGTTTAAGTGATATCTTTTGACAGGTTAATATCTGACAGCTAGCATTGTATTTGATGTCCTTCAGATGAAGAGTAGAAGTCCAAGCACACTTCCTTGTGGAACACCTACACTAAACTATTTGCTTGATTGATTTAGTATCGTACACTTTGGTGCCTTGTGACTTATTTAGCAAATAGCTGAAAGACCATTATTGTCTCAAAGGTTCTCGTTATGACACCAAGGAATACAATTATGATATATTTGCCACCATCTGTCGCTAGTTTTCACTTCGATAAACTTAGCTCAATTGCTATCTTACAATGAAACTCCAGCACAAAGGATATTACCTGATGTAACCCAAATACGGGCAAATTTAAAGAAGCATCCGGATGACAAGAGAGGACAAATACCTGCGTCAAGGCATTCAAACTGTATAAAAGAACAAACAAGAAGATAAAGCGTTTAGTTTGAGTAGAGCCATGAAGATGATAGTATAGCCTGCTATCTAAAACGCTCGCATATAATAAGCAGTAATTTTTATTAAGTACTTTTCTTGGTTATTCACAATTTGTCTTCAATCTAGGACCGCCTGCCCGGTACTGACGATGCCCAATAGGCTGAAACATCTCTCTTCCGGTGGCTCTTAAATTGAAATCAATGTGGGAATGATCAGAATAGTACTTATATATTTATTTTTTGATTTTCATGGAATTATTGTCCAGCAGCTTGACTGCATTAACCTTTCTAGATTTCATATCATTTCTAGAAACGTGGATTCGTTTTCCGATGGCATTTCAGGTTAGCTTCCCAAATTTCTGCTACCGCAGTTGTCGGTTGATTGGTCAAACCACCAACACTGACATAAAAACTTGGAAAGTTGACTTGGGTGTCACACCAATAGGTGGTTCCACTTATGCTTCGCTTGCATTTACGCAGCTATTTTTATCAAGTACTTTCTTGGTTTACTTTACTGTTTACTGTGAATGACGAGAAAGACAATCCATTTCCTGACGCTTTTGACGTTAGTTTAGTACTTGTGACGTCAGAAGGCTGCTGCCGAAAAAATAGAAATCCTATCATTTTTTTCACTGATCTGGAGAATTAGAAATTATAGTGTTATAAGGTTTGCTGGAAACTTTAATTACAACAAAGCACTTTATAACAGATGGCGAACGACAGTTAGTTATATGATGATGACTATTGGCAGTATTGAAATCAGTATGTGAAAATTGTATTCGTACCAGTAGCAAAGTGATCATCTTCCAGCATAAGTCCTGGCTCTCCTGCTCTTTGTTGCATCTGCATTTTTTGGTACATTGAATCACTTATGGTATCTGGAAGAGGATTATGTTCCAAGTTTTCTTTATGTAGTTTTTTGGCAAGGCTGAAATTGGATATAGCAGCCAAAATCGGAGACAGTATCCGATCTTTTTTTGTTTTTCCTGTGAGTTTTCTATGACATTCTGCAAGTACCATTTCCTTGTGTGATTTATAAAAGTCATTTACTTCTTCAGTAAGGTCTCTTTTAGTTTCTGGTAGAGGTTTCGAGAAGTCATCCCGAATATTAGGTAGACCACTTGAAGGCGAATTTTCTTTTGAGAAACGGTCAGCTACAAGCTCCTCGTGACTTGGAAGTTGGTGATGCTTTTCTGTCAAATCACCAGGAACGTATGGCATGGACTCTTTATTTGAGTATTCAATGTTTTCTTTATTTGTATCCTGAAAACAAAACTATTTTCAACAACCTCTTAACTTTACATCAACCAGTCAAATTACCTCATTTTCTGTTTTGTTGTGATCTTCTACATTTTTAAATAAAGAACCGCCTTTTTTAGAGTCTTTCAGCTCGATTAAACCATTTAACTGATTTGCTGAAAATGAACTGTTTTAAATTCCAAAAATTGATTTTTTAATTTCTAAAACATATGAAACTATAATATATATTCATCAAATATTTGCAATCAATATGATTTCGTATATTATAAAGGATACCGATAATCGGTGAATTTTTTTCGAAGTTCTTCGATATGTTTATTCCCACCAAGATTTTAATTAATATAGGGTCCTAAAAAGTTTGTGTAGTTTTTGTATGTGATCTCATTACTTTCAAATTTGATTGGGAGAAATCGGTTACGTCTTTTATTTCGAGTTATAAATATATCAGATGATTTTGAGAAATTCAATATTAATTCATGAATTTGTAACCAAAAATAAATTTTATTCAGCACATTTCAGAAACACCGGATTTGTACTACTTGACCACTAAAGACTGAGCCTATACCATTGAATAACATGGGAGCTGAAATGAGACGAGATTTCAAGTTTTTCTCAATCTTTTGGAGATTATATGACGCCAGTATCATACATCAACACAGTTTTGCATTACAGTTGAGAAACTTTATATAATTTGCTTTTATAGAACTCCTTTATCAGACAAATTTTTTATAAAAAAATTCTGAAATCATTACTCTCGCAACTACCAAATAGTTTGTTGGTTATTTCTACTGGCGATCTCTATCAATTTCTAAGTCACCCACTCACAAGTATTTTACTATTATCAAATCTCGTCACAATGTAATAATAATAATATTTATTAATCCAATAAAGTTACATGCAGACATAGAATAAGTCAAATTAGTAGTTAAAAAGAGTACATTGTAAAATAAAATTTAAAATAATATTAGAGTTAGGTATATAGAGATAAAGTGGTAGTACATGGTGTATAAAGTGGGTGTATTGATATAAGTAAGTTATATAACATTAAAACTAGAAATTTTATTAAAACATTCATTCAATCTGTAAAAGGGAGTCCGAATGAGTATTTCTTTGAGTTTTAACTTGAAGTTGCAGGTGGTAAGTGATTTCAGAGTAGGGGGTAGATGGTTGTACATTTTAACTCCCATAACTGTGGGACTCTGGCTGGTGATTTGTAGGGTGTGGTTTGGAATTATTTCTTGTATTTTCCTTGTGGAATATGTGTGTGTATTATTTGGACAGTTGGTTCGGTGTTTTCTATCAGGTGCAAAGCTTGCTATTTCCAGTATATACAGGTTGACCGCTGTTGAAATGCCTAGGCGTTTAAAAAGTGGTTTGCGTAGTTCAAGATAATGAGAAGAGGTCATACATCTAATTATCCGTTTTTGGGCAGATAGTATATTATTCACTGCAGATGAAGTCCCTCACAACCAGACACCATAACGCAGCCGGGACTCAATTTCACTGTGATAGATAGATATAGTCATTGAGTCATTTAAAAATTCTCTAAGAGTTTTGAAAAGATGAAATTTCTGACCCAGAGTGGATATTAGCTTAGAGCAATGAACTCCCCATTTCAGGTTCTCCTCTAGGCATACCCCTAGAAATTTAGTTGAGCTGTTTTGTATGAGGTGCTCTGGTTCTATAATTATAGTATATATATATATGGTCTATAGATTTTTGCCGTGGGTGAAAATTTATGAAGTTCGTTTTGGTTGTGTTCAGAACCAGATTATTAGCAGAAAACCAGTCACTTGCCTTTTTCAGAGCAAGGTTTGCTTTTGCCTCTGTATCTAGGGAATCTGAACCAGTTATTAGAAAATTTGTGTCATCTGCATACATTGTGACGTTGTGTTCTCCAGTGTAGCATGGTAAATCATTAGTGTACAGAATAAATAGTATAGACCTAAGTATGGAGCCTTGAGGTACCCCTATATTGATGGTGGAGGTTTCTGATCTGACTTTTTTGTTTTGGTTAGCATTACTATTTATTTCGACATATTGTTTTCTATTTTTCAAGTACGATTGAAACAGTTGAATGGAATGCCATGAACACCATATTTTTCCAGTTTATGGAGTAACCGGTCATGTTCAACACAGTCGAATGCTTTGCTTAAGTCACAAAAAACTCCTACGGGGTACTTTTTATTTTCAAAATATGATTTTGCAGTAAAAGTTCAGGAAGTTCAGTTGCAGTAATTTCGACCTCACAAATTCTGATTGTTCTCTTATTCCTTCTGGGCTGGGCTATCAGATCATGAAGCTACAGTTTTTTTCTAAATTACCATTCAAAATTGTCAGAAACACTGAGAATAGGTGGTCTATAATCGGTTCTTCGAAGTCATGAGCAGATGAATTGACTTTTTTTTCAAGACAATTGTCAACCTTTTGAAGCGTTCTTTAATGGGTTATTCGAAAATTTTAATGAATTAATATTTTTTTCTACATCTACAAAAAATCAAAATGGAAGCATTATAAATTCAAGGAGAATTGAAAGACACAATATACGAGTCAGAGGTAATTAATTACTTTTTTCATAAAATACACCTACACATCGACAACCAAGAAAGTGAAAATTGTTATGGAGATTCTTTGACTCATTACAAGAGAAGCTGCTGAGGATTTTGGTATATCGGTTGGCTCATGCCACGCAATTTTTTCGAAAATTTTGTGCATGAAGCATATGGCAGCGAAGTTAGTTTCAAAATTGCTGAATTTAGACGATATTTTCAATATTAGCAGGTAGTGCACCATACAATCTGAAATCACTAGATTAAGCCCCCTGCGACTTTTCCTGTTTCCAAGATTGAAAAGACGGCGTTTTGCAACGATTGAGGAATTGCTGAAAGAGCTCTTGGACATACCAAAACGTGTATATCAGAACTGCTTCAAAAGTTGCAAAAAACGCCGAAATAAGTACATTTATTATATCTGAAGGGAAATACTTACAAGGGGACAGTCAAGCATCTTCTGAAGGTTTTATATTTTACTTTATGAGCATACGTTGATTTTATCGTATTTTGTGACATGTTCTAAAGCTGTAGCTTTGTTATGAACCAAATAAAAATTTGAATAAATATATTTTGAGAAAAATGAAAATTCACCCCATTTTTTGATCAGACCTCGTACGTTGAAGTAATTGTTCGATTGTGGAAGCCGTTTCTATGTTCTTTTACACGTGCTCTGAATATTCAAAAAACACTCTGTGATTTTCTCTAAACAATTTTACAAAAACGCACCACGTGTTTTGCTATACAATAACTTGTTCAAGTGTGTCTATACGCCTATAGCTAGATGTAATTTAGGCAAATTGAACAGCTCAGAGGAACTTACCAGTTTCTCGATCAATTTTATTGGGCAACCTCCAAGTACCTACATAATTTCCCCAAGGACGGGAATTCAATTTATGGGCACTTGGTAATAAGTGTCCTCTATCGTTTGCTATAACCCTGGTTTTGCCTGTCCTTTTTTGTGGTTTATCACATTTCAGTTTTGGCACTTCCCAGTTTCTAAGCAGGGTCGGCTTATAGGCCGACTCAAACTAAACAGAAAAAATTACTCGTTATTCATAACATTAACCATCAAATGATGTTTTGACAATCGTCCAGTTGAAAAAATGCCTGTAACTATTTTTAACAATTTTTAATATACAAAAGGCAAGTATAACAAATTTTAATACATAAAAGTCAAGATAACAATTTTCAACACAATACATTTCACTTTCTGCAACATACATTTTCTACCGTGCCACTTCACCCATTTTCATTATTCATAATATTCACCTTTAAATTTTGTCGGCTTATATATTGTTATTATATGCCTCTGTTAGACATATCAACAAATAATAATTCTGTCATTTTCAGGTTGACAAAAAAATATTTTTACATGCCTGTATCCCACAAAGACTGACAGGGGTAATAGTAATAAATTTTGAGCAAGTCATCAAAATAGTATACAAAACTCTAGAAATCTGATTTGTGTGGTACTGCTTGAAGACCAGAAATATTAAATGGAAATGAAGAAAATCATGAAGATCAGACCGAGCATGAAAACAATTCTGAATCAACTTGGTTCTAAATATAATTTTGCAACAAAAAAAATCCCCCACAATTATTATTCCATGCACCAAGGTTGGCCGGCTCTATCCCTAAACGATGTTGAGCTCAACCTGTCAGAAGCCAGAAAAGTCGACATGAAAACCGACTTCCCTGGCTTTTCACAAGCTCAACTCGAAATCTCTAACGAATGGGGCTGACAAACCTTGAAACTGAATTTGGTGTGGGAGAGTTTTTTTGTTGTAAAATTGTATTTGTAACAAAGTTGATCAAGATTTTTTTCATACTCAGTCTGATCTTCACAATTTTCTTCATTTCCATTTAATATTTCTGGCCAATGAACAGTACCACTCAGATCAGATTTCAAACCTACTAGAGTTTTGTATACTAAATTTTCTGAAAGACCTGCTTTTGCTTGATTTACGTCTCGCTCAAAATCTATTACCTCTGTCAATCGTTGTGGAATATATACTTGTAAAAAGACTTCTTCATCAACCTGAAAGTGACAGAATAACATTATATTTGTTATAATTAAACTGTGTTGAAGTAACACACATAGATGTCACTTCTCTAAAATTCAATTATTATCAAATATATTAGAAGCTCAATGACATTTAGGGCTTTTGACAACATATTTTTTGGTGTCCGACCGAAAGTTCGGTTTCGGTCGATACGAAACAAATCAAATATTCGAGTTTCATGGTTGTTATTTCCACAAATGTCTAAAATGTATGAAATACAAACGTGACGACTACACTTTCGAAGACCCCACTGTTAGTAAACAAATGCGTTACGAAACAACTTTGGCGAAAACTGAACATTTACGGCAGCTGGGTACGAAGTCATAGAAAAATGGGAGTTTTCTCTCCGAAAAGAGCTTTTGGAAAATCCAGTCAATAGCCTCATTGACTTCCAGGCCAATATGGCCAAACCAAAGACAATCTGTTGAGTCTTCCTATCGAGGAGAGTCGTTTTTGGCAATATATACGTTGCTCGAGATGAGTCACAAGCTTCCAACACCGCTTAACTGTTCGAGAAAATTTTTATTGACTTGTGAATGGGTTTGGTACACTCTGATTGGTTCATCACTGGGTGACAGGACACCACGTGACAATTTGGTGCTCTCTGGTTGACTGGGTGGTCTGTCTGCCTTGTATGGCGAGCTGAGAGGCAACCTGACTGTTGTGATGGCGTCTGTCTTGCTGAATAAGGGTTTCGGTGGCAAACCTGCCGAAACTGCATTCGGGAGTTCTCGCGCTGTGATCGGTCATGTTCGGCGCGTTGAATTTCAAACAAGCGACGAAGACATTTTGCCGCGTCCACGTCCCTAATCATGTCGTGACTTACTTTGTTTAATACATAAATATCAATATTTATTGTGATATTAGGTAACAACTTAAATAAGTAATTTTATGTTGAATATTTTTGAAAATCCATCAATAATATTCAAAAGTAGTATCTACACTTACTCAAATAAACACCTCACCAATTTCAAGTATTTTTAAGGAGCAATGAATATTTTATCATAAACAAGGGTTTGTTATGTTGATTATCAAAAAGTAAAAATGGCGAAGACTGCATAACGTTCTAATTTAAGATGAAAAAATAGAGACTGACTGATTATAATGTTTTATTTATTTTTCCCTCAAAATATAATCCTTGTAAGGAAGTTTCAGTTTCGGAAGAAACTGAGACCGTTGCCAAAATTCGTTTTTGCTCGTAAAAATCAGTTTCGGTCGGACACTAATATTTTTGTTTCTTCCCCACCTGATATAATATAAATGAAACTTGAATTTCTAATAGAGGCATATAAAAAACAATATATAGGCCGACAGAATTTAAAGGTGAATATCATGAAGAATAAAAATCAATGAAGCAGTGCCGAATAAACATAAATGTAACATTTCATAGAAAATAATCAACAATTTACATCACTCAAGTCTGTTTTTTTAGGTTTTCCATCCTTTTCTTAACATGTTTCTTGACCTTAGTTTTCCTTTTTTCTGCTTGCGCTTCTTTCACAGCCTTCTTCCTTGCTTTTTTTTCTTCATTAGTCTCATTTTTTGGCCTTGATGAATTCCTAAACTTGCTCTCTTCTTCAGACTCTGTTTCGCTATTTTCCTCTAATATTTCAGGCTGGTCGATTATGGAACTTGATTCAGATTTTTTTTCATGCTCAGTCTGATCTTCATGATTTTCTTCATTTCCTTTTAATATTTCTGACTTTGTTTCACTGTTTTCATCTAGTATTTCAGGCTGTTCAATTATGGTACTTGATTCAGATTTTTTTTCATACTCAGTCTGATCTTCATGATTTTCTTCATTTCCATTTAATATTTCTGGCCTTTGTACAGTACCACTCAAATCAGATTTCAGACCTACTAGAGTTTTGTACATTAAATTTTCTGAGTGACCTGCTTTCGCTTGATTGATGTCTCGCTCAAAATCTATTACCTCTGTCAGTCGTTGTGGAATATAAGCTTGTAAAAATACTTTTTCATCAACCTGAAAGAGACAAAATTATATTATTATATTTGTTACTATTTGTCGTGTTTCAACTGTGTTGAAGTAGCACAGATAGATGTGTCACTTTTCTAAAATTTATTAATCAAATATTTCAGAAGCTCAAGACATTAAGGGCTTTTGGCAATAGATATCACCTGACCTTATATCAACTTGATATAAATGAAACACTCGAATTTCTAACAGAGGCATATATAAACCACCATAATTCGAAGGTGAGTATTACAAAAAAGAGAATCAGTTGAAGTGGTGCAGTAGAAAATGTATCTTGCTAAAAATGAAATGATGAAAGACATTATATAGAAGCATTTGTTAAATAGAGTTGGAGCCAGTTGATTTATTCATGCTGTGAAGCAATGGAAATAATTATCAAGCCTACAAACAGGAATTTGAGAAGAAATCAGTTGGGCAAAGACATATTCGGAAAAGATTCTGCAGTGGGTGCAATTAATGGTTTGATTGCTTTAATGAAGAAGGAATGGAATTTACCTAATTTGTTGCCTATTCACTGCTTGCTGCATCAAGACACTTTGACATGTGAAATTTCGGATAACAAATTGAAAGATGTAAGCATTATTATAAATGTTATTCGCTCGCGCTAAGTTAATCAATGAAATTTCAACGACCTTCTTGAGAATTACAAGCTAATTATAGTGGTGTTATCTTACATACAGCTGTCAGACGGTTGAGCAAAGGAAAAGTATTAGAACGGTTCTTTCAAATAAAACCCACAACTTTTTTTTACAACAAAATGGCAAAAAATTCCCACAACTATGGCAAAATGAATGGTGGCTACTTGTGGCTCTTTTGACCAATATTACTATGAAATTCCATAGTCTTATTTTCAAAATGCAAGTAAGTAACAAGATATATGGGCAAATGACAAATAAAGTATTCGCATTTGAATACAAACTGCAATAACTCGCTCTACTATTGGATTGCTCAAACTCAGTACAAGACGGACACATTCAGAAATAATATTCATACATAAATTGTTGAACAACGAAATTAATTTCCCAACTCTTCTATGTAAAGTCAATCTGCATGTTCCCCCGAGAAGGACACGTAACAATCAAACTTTCAGTCTCGACTTTCATAGGTGTAATTATGGAAAACATTCTCTTTTGTCCAGAATTCTATCGAATGCTAATGGAACCAATATTGATTTTCGTCATATCTCTCAGAGCACTCTTAGATACACTTTGCGTGGTTTAGATTTATAAGATTATTTTTTTAATCACAATTTTATTAAAATTTTCTCTATGTAGGTTGATTTATTAGATATGTAGAACTAGAATAGTTAACTTTCTAAGGTTAATATATTGTATAAAAATTGGGGGTTACCTATTGAATAAATAAATAAATGAATAAAAAACTCGAAGCAGGGGATTTTTCAAATTTTCCAACTGTTGTTGCTCTGCAATCGGAAGTTTCTATTCCTAACAGTACTGCCTATTAAAATATGATATCCTATTTGAAAGTATATCTGCTAGAAATTCAAAATAGATTTTAGGATGTGACAAAAATTGAGAACAGTTTTATACTTGTGTAAAACTCTTGGCATCTTGAAAGCGAATATATGAAATAACTCTGCCAGTTTCATTGAAGTAAAGCACGACACACATCTGAAAGCTAATTTAATTCAACACCCTGAAAAGCAGGAGTACATTGAATTTAGGAAAAATGCACCTAGCAAGTATAAATCTTAACAAAAACTGTGCACAATTTGTTTTCTTCAACATATCTCTGTCAAGCTTCATTTTTGAAAATGAGGTATCGAAAAAACAAATACCGCAATGGTCTTTCCACTCATTTAGAAGACACAATGAGGAATTCATATAGTCCAAAATATGTCGATATACAAGAAATAATTAAGAAAGTTCAACACCATACTTCGTAACTACAAATAGGTGTTTACAATTATGGTGTTGAATTTTTTAATTATTTCTTACCTACCTACATATGTTTAAAAATTATTTTTTCCAAAAAATATTACAATGAACAATATTTCATGAGTAATTTTTTCGATATCAACTTCCACGCAAACAACGCACAACTAGTGCGAAATGATTAATAAAGAAATGGAACTTAGAGTGCCTTTACATTGGGTCGCGCGGCTGCCGCGCGACTTCCATACTTAAAAGAGACGCGCGGCTTTGTGCGACCTAATGTGGAGCCGTTACATACTCTGCAGACTGGCGGTGAGACACACACATTGTCCTGTGTGTGACCAGAAAGGTACGACGACCGCTGAGTTTCTCAACCAATAATTATAGATCATTACCTGTTCTGAGGAGGTTGTTTCCGTGTTTCCAGCAGCTTTTTCTGCAAAGGCATCTAGACACTCCTCCATATTATTTTCTGTGATACTGGGATCGGTTATGAAATCAAACAAATCTTTGATGCCCATGGTAACAACTTTTTTTTTCCTGAAGAAGTCTGTAATATTATTGCAATCTTTCCTAAGAAACTCAAGAGCACGGGGATGGTCATGTTCAACAGACTGTGAAACATCTATTATGTAAATTTGTCCATTGTAGTAGAGCATATTGAATTCAGAGAGATCGGCGTGAACCAATTTACATTTGTTATACATCTGCCACATCATGACAACAGTTTCCCTGTAGGCTTCCCCGGCTTTTGACAGGCTCAGCTCAACATCTTTCAGTTTTGGGGCTGGCCAACCTTGAAATTAAATTTGGTGAGTGGAATAATATTTGTGAAGTTTTTTTTTTTTGCAAAATTGTATTTGTAACCAAGTTTGTTGTGAGAATAATTACCAAATTCTATACTAAATAAAAAAAAAAGAAAATTTTTATCACCATCATTCTCACTATAGTTGGTGATTATAAACAAACAACAGGAGTAACTAGGAGCGAAACATGCAAGGATTTTGGATAACGAATACAATAAACTTTATTTGTTTATAAAGTTTATTGTTTATTTGTTTATGAAGTTTATTGTATTTGTTTGAAAATGTCCTTATAGGACGAAACTGCAGCAATGTTAGTTACAAATACAAGTGAACGATAGGGACTTCATTTGGAGAACTTTATTGTATGAATTTTTCATTATTTTTTTGATAAGAGGGTCGGACTGGCTGTCAGTTGGTACCTTGGACAGATTGGAAAAGTACCTAGCAATCTTTCTAGATATAGCCAAATTATTCGATACCGTTTCATATTTCTTGTTGCCAGAAAAATTGGAAAAATTTGATGTATGAGGCCAAGCTCTAAACCATTTAGAATCTGGCCTACACTTGGCCTTGATTTAGACTAAACGTCTTGGTAAATTATTTGACACAAAGGATGCAAGTTGTTGAAATTGACCAGAATCAAAGTCAACCAATAGAAGTTTAAGATCGGCCTGGTATGTGACTATTTTGGTATACATCAATAGGTAACTTCATAAGCTATATACCACGATTTGATCTTCACAAACTTTATTTTCAAAATATATTACGACATGTTTGGCTATCACAGTAGATTTTCGTAGTGAAAAACAATACTGAAAGTTAATTCCCTACTCCTTTCAGTATTTTTATTCACTACTAAAGCGTTACTGTGACAGAGAAACATGAAGTGATATATTTTGAATAAAATTTGTGAAAATCAAATCATAGGTGTAGTTTATGAAGTAATTTTATAAAGTAAAGATTTCATAATTTCATATGCTCATGGTTCAACATTTATACATATAGAGGTAATTGCTAAATCTCACTCAGCCATATGTACATTTTATTCTTTATTACGCCCGTGAGCGATCTCCTCACACTACCGTTGGAGTTGCATGACCCACATATCCCTTGCTTGTGGGTTGCTACCTCTTGCTGACGACTTTATCCTAGACAAGTGGAAAGCCACTCCCCACCAAGGCAGTTCCGGCCCAGTCTGACCCTGTTTGATACTTGATGAATGTGGTGTCACAAACAGTTTGATCTTCCTCTTGAAGATGATCACTTAGTGGTCGAAACACATGTCGAGGTGTTAAAACAACGGTTTGATTTTGGGAAAAACTCCAGTAATATTCATTACTAAACCAAAGGTTCCAAACAGTACATCACAATTAATAGACACAATGACAATTACTAGCCTTAAGAAAAATAAATGTGTTCCAAATGAAATCCTTATCAGATATGATTGATTGCATCTAATTGAAATCTTACCTTCTTTTCCAATAAAAGTCATAAGGAGGACATGCGAGTTGAGTGAAACAGGCCGAGGTACATTCAAACCTTTAGAGTGCATACGAGCTAGGTTTCTCATCTCTTTTTCTGCCCAAGTACTAACCATTTTTCTTCGATTATTTTTACCGTAACCGTGTCTAAATCTGAACTCGCCACTAACATATTTATCCCTATCCTTGAACACCAGAATGGACGTTTTGTATATTTTTATTGCATAGTCTTCACCACTATTTGAAAAGGCATGATAAACATTTGCTTCCTTGCCTGTTGAAATACATCCGTTTATTTCTGATATGATATTTTTGTTAAGGAATTTAAATAAAATCATTCTAGTTCGTGGATCCATGACTTGTTCCGTTGTGGCTCTATCATGCTTATCCTTTCTACGATTCCTATCACTTTCCAGGCGCTTTTGGTTTTCGAGCAACAAATTTGTAGTGTGGCCTGGAAGGTTTGTCACTTCATACCTTTCCAAATTGATTTTGTTTGCATATTTATGAAATAAATTGTCATTGGCCTGGAAATTGCTGACTCTGCTCGTAGCCTGTTCCTGATGGCCATGTGGGTGATGATGTGCATATTTGTCATAATCATAGTAATAATCATCGGAGTCACCTTCATCTTCCAACGCCAGTTCATCAATTTCCTCTAAAACATTTTCCTGTATTTCTACCCCATCTTCAGCATCACAAAATAACTCGTCCTCTGTAAGGGGGGAAGTGATTTTGTCCTCCATTTATGTAATATATTTAATGAATAAAAAATCAACCAATTGCTTCACTGAACTGTGCCACAGATGACTCGATAACTAAAATAAAAATATAAGCTGTCAGCTGTGATACTGCAGAAAGCAACGGTAATAGTCTATAAAGTACATGCAAGTTTATAGGATATATTTTTTTTAAAGTATAGGAATACCTTTTTCCTTTTCTATAATTTTACTTAGTTATGTAACAAATCGTATTATTTCTCTAATAACTTCTGTGTTTAGATTCCTGTGTACTGTAAACATGTTAAATAGAGCTTTTATTATCGATATTATTGAAGATTTGATACATATCTTGTCCGATATAGTGTTGATGGGTCATATTAAGAAAATGTGGTTATTGTTTTGGGTTGTCGGCATTCACAATTTGGACTACTGCTAGCCCCTATAATAATATAATAAAAAATAATGATAATGGTTATGTGGCTTCTGTCCATACCTATTTGTATTTTCATGTAGGTGCCTCGGTTTTTTTGGGTAGTCAGGTTGGGCCCTGAAATACATTTTCCCTTTGTTTTGAGTTACATGTTTCCATTGTGTGTAAAATGGTATATTTAATATTTGTTTCAGGTGAGGTTTGAAGTTTTTTCATCTATTTTTATATCCAGTGGAATATTACGACGCGTAAAAATGTTTGCTAAAGTATCACCTTTTTCATTACCTTCTATTTGTTGATAACGTGGTATTCATGCCATTTTAAAAATTTTGGTATTGTTTTTAATCGTTCTTAATTTATCTTTAATATTTAATGTAATATAATCAGTAGATATTTGTTGATGTATCCCCATATTCAATTCTTTCTTTTGCGCTTTCTGAGTCTTTACATATTACATTTTCACATAATTCTTTTTTACAAGCTTTAATTTATTGGAATTATTTTGCGTCCCATATATTTGTATATTCATTCAATTTCGCTGAAAAAAAAATCTGATTATTGTTACATATATTCCCATTCTCACTCTATTATTCTGTTCGGAAGCTTCTGGTATTATTTGATATCATTATTGATATTACTTTATTTGTATTTATGCAAGATTTTGAATTTTTTATATGCATCTACGAAATATGGTGTTTGTTAGGTTTTCCAGTATTGTCAATCTGAAAATAATCTAATTATTTTACGCTATGCAATAGCTTTTTCAAATGTACAATAACCTAATTATTTTTGTAAAACCCTTTATTGAAAATCTTACAATAAACTGTATTAATGAGTTTTTTTTTATGTTTAGGAATCGATGAACCCGTAGGCCTTCCCCCTCCTCTCCTAACATGTTTACAATTTTTCTCTTGCTCAGGAATGTATGTATGAAAGAAAAGAATTACATTGCAAAAATGTTGATCAATCAACCCAAAATTTGTTATCATAGTGTTTATTTTCAAAGGAAAAAGGTTAGAGAGAAGAAAAAAAGGAAAATCCCATAATGGTTAGTAGCATACCTGTTCGTCAGTCCGGTGGTCACACGTTGAAAACTTCAAACCAATTCCTAAAGAGATGAGCTTAGAAACATAACCACAGTGGAAAGCTAAAGACCAAGTGTCCAGTGTCCAGCGCAGTGTCACGATATAAAAATTTAGCTTTTGCTGTGGCAGCGTTTTTATTTAGGAATTTTCAATTGTGCCAAACTAAAGTGAAAATCTCAGAGTATATTTTTTATTACTCTGAGGTGAAAATGTGAAAATATTGCCCAAAAGTAACCTAAAGTGTCCCGTCAATTTCTTCTTCTCATTTGTGACAGAACCTCTGTGCATAGAAATCGATCCAATCAGACTCAGTGACTCACAACAGACACTACTTGAGATCACAGCATAATGCTGTGTTTAGATGTAGCAACTCCTAACTCCTGGAGTATAGAGGTTTCAGTCAAGATTTAGGTGTTGACGATGATGCTGATGTATGTGGTATTTCATAATTTTTTTCAAGTCCGTACAAGGAATCTATGAAATAGATTGAATAATAATTCAAATTTATAGCAGAATTCCATTTCACCACTTACTTCTCTAGCAAAACTGGAATGGATTTTTGTAAATTATATAAGATAATACATAAAACCAATATACAGTATAGAATAATATTTATTCAGAAAATCAACAAATATTTCGAGTATTTTAATTTGGAAACTTCGGAGAGGTTCACAAAACAACAAAGGTAAATAATATTTGAATTTTGGAACTATGCCCCAAAAAAACAACACTGACTGTGTCACAGAGGAAATAAATTTATTCATCTGTTACTGTGTACTTTGTGCCAGTATGGCCGAAGCTGCTAGGGCTAAGCATCCAGGATTAATCAGTCGAATCAAAGAGTAGTAAAAATTTGTTCCAAAAATAACACTTTCAGTGCGTTCCACTAAGCACTCACAACGACCACTCTCACGACCACGGTTTTTGCCGTTCCACTTGGTTGTGGGCGTCACAATCATTAACTCAAGTGAAATGGATTTTGGAGCGTTTTGAGCATTCATTTAAATAATACACATGGCGCGTTTGAAAAAACAAAACAAAAAGTTGATGAGGTTATGTTACAATTTGTAAGTGGTATCAATAAGTTCTATTAATTGTTGGTTAACATGATTTATTAAACACACATTATGTATATACGTTAATTTTAGAGGAGTATTTAACTGATTTATGTTCGTATATAATAAAAATGCCTTTTACGGCGGCAGTTGGAAATTTGTTGGTGCGTCGAAATAATGCTCCACAATATTGATAATGAAAGTTGTTGATTCATCAATTTAGGTTATGTTATTGACAAATGATGAAAATATATAAATTGCGATAAATTATAAACTGCAATTATGCTTAATAAGCTTCATTTAACAATGATATTTACCTGTTAACGCACGTTCAGCATCTGCAGGAGAAAGTTTGAGATCCACAACAGTATCTCGTTCGGCACAATAGAACGATATTGTTGTTGTCGCCATGTTTGCTGCTTTTAGTTTTAAAAATTGTGCTCAGTTTCTCAAAACGCTCACATCGACCCACCTCTTGAGATGGGTCGTCGTGAGCTAAGCATGAGCATAAGTAATGACGTCATTAATGACGTTTTCGCCGCGACCACAACGATCGCGGTCGCCATGTGGAACGCTTGAATGAGTATTTTAGGCGTTGTGAACGCTTAGTGGAACGCACCATTTCTAACCGCTATTAACCAATATTTTCAACAGCGGTAACCTGGTTGTATCAAATGTGTTATTGATAAAAGTTGATTGCTGAATTACTTTAGTTAGTTAGTTGATTTTCTAATATTTGAACAAAGAAGCATGAAGAAGGTCCACAACCAATGAAACTTCAGATGAATGGGACGAAAATGTTGAATTAATTGAACGGAAACAAGTTGTCTTTAATTGTGGTTTACACTAGGTTTACTAGGCTTTTTATGTCTTTCTTGGTAATTAACCAAACAAACCTGTTATTTTCATTACCCACATAAGACAATAACCGATAACTGGAACTGTTTAGTGTTGCAAAGTATCTGAGTCAAAGAATTTAAAAAAAATGATCATGATCAAATACTATGAAAATCATATGATTTTACTCATAGGTAGGTATGTGAAATATCATATAATTTTTTACTCTCCAATCATAAAAACCATTTGGTTGAAAAAGTTCGAATATTCTAAATGCAAACTCGTCATCTGCCAATTGTCACTCTCATAATAACAATATCATCGGTTAGTATTTTGACGTTTGTTTAACCAGCTTCCTTGGAACCAGTCTTATTGTATTCTACGATTTCTAAACATTTTTCGAACACTAAACCTTCTTCACTTTTCATAGAGCTCTATGGTTTCCAAAGACGATTGTGAAAGTTGAAATACACAATTCCAGGCATCCATCCAGCCAATATAAATAAAATATGATATGTATTACATATTAGTGATAGGATAAATCGAATTCAAAATAATCGATCAATCGATCAACTTGAAAGGGATCTGTTTAAATCTGTTTAAAATCTGTTTTTTCGTTAACCGGCTGTCGCACCCCTACTAAAGATAAACCTCAGAAGTCAAAACTTGTGCGAGCTGAGGATTAACGAGGTCTTACCTTTTAACCTGTGATTCCTAAAGAGGGTTGGACGATAGTAAGTGAAAATCGATCGTTCATACTATGGCTTAAACCACCGATCAAAACGGTAGTCAATTCGAGTGACTGAACAAAGCACCCACGTCAAACCGCCTGGCTTTCGACCGACGATCATTCAAATGATAGAAATAACTCAAATGCCGCAATACGAGTAACTAGGTAAACACTATTTTGCAGGTCTGCAGGTAAGCAAATTGTTCTCGGTAGACATTGCTCTCGTAATTTTGTAGGAGGACAAAAATTCTTGCGGATCGGGTCTTCCAGTCATGAATCTCGACCAGGTTAATCATTTTCGACAAAAAGAATTCCAACCCCTACCCTGAGTATGGAAAAATTCCACATTCCTCATTAAATTGTCTGGCAGACCCGACATGCAAGAATTTCTGCCAACCTGTAAAGTTTATTTTCATTTTTAAGAGAAATGTCAATTTTTTTCATACTTAAAGGGGAGGGAGAGGTTGTGAAATTTTTTCACACTCAAAGGGTGGAGGTTGGATTTTCTTGTCGAAAATGATTAATCTGATCGTGATTCATGTCTGGGAGACCGGACCTGCAAGAATTTCCGCCGACCTGCAAAATATATATTCAACTTTTTGAGAATTGTGAAACTTTTGGGTGGGGGTTGGAAAATTTTTCTGTCGAAAATGATTAACCTCGTCGAGATTCATGTCTGGCAGACCTGACCTGTAAGAATTTCTGTCTTCCTACAAGATTACGAGACCAATGTCTACTGAGAACAATTTGTTGACCTGCAAAATAGTTATAACCGTATGAAACACGTCTGCACCACGTCCTTCACGCATTTCGATCTATTTCAAATTCGATTACTCCTCACTTAATGATTTCGGTGTCAATTTGTCGAGGGCGCTCTATCATGTAATGACACCCTCGTACAATTGAATTTCGCACGTGTTATCCGTCCCCCTTGCAACCACCTAAAAAATAGTTACAGAAGCTCTACTTGCCCTCTCGTGAAGGGTGTTTCGGGATGGCATGTGTTTTTTTGATTGTTGTTTACATTTTCGTAATCCGTGTGAAATTTATCATGTAGACTTACGTGTGACATGTTTGTTTTTTATTGTTCAGTCATAGATTTATTTATGCAAATTGATCAGGATCTGAAATTGAGTAGATCCCATATTTTTCCACTTGTCGTTTCTCTTAAAGTAGTTTTGAAAAGGCAACACGATGGGGAAAAGATGGGGAAACTAGGAAAAGAGCACCTAAAATGAATTATCATTTACCATAAAGACTTAATTTCTTACTTTCGAATGCTATTTTTTCAAGGATAGAAAAAGTGGCAAAGTTGGTAATTCAATTTAATTTTTTTATATCAGAAATAGTGTCTTAGAAATTGAAGCAATTATAAAAATATACTACAGAAAATTATTGCATTAGCACAAAAGCGCAGAAGTCATATATTTTTTATAATTGTTTTTTGGAAACTCCGTCTTTAGAAGTCGACTTTAACCTCAAAATTTCGAATTTCAATTTATAATTAATAACTGTAGATAACTGAATTCCGTGTCCTATCAGTCCATCTTCAAATGGGCTTGTTTCATGATTTTTGGTTTACAGTTCATTTGCTATTAATTTCAAATTAAAAAGTAGTGTACTTTGTTTCAGCTCTCTAAATAGCGTTGTTTTCCCGTAACGGGACTAGGCCTGTGATGTCACGGGCCTAGTCCCGCTTCTTGTTCTATTGACCAATAGGAACAATACAAACAATGAACATTGCCAAATTGTAAAATTCACGGAGCGTATAAACAGTTTCTGATTCATCGTCATTCAAAATAAAATCACACTCACTTCCGACAACTAAATCTAAGAAGAAAGTGTAAGAAATTCATTGGTTGATATCACAGAAATTTTAATAATAGAAGTGTATGTGAACCCGTTAACGTTTATATTTATGAAAACATTCTCCATATGAAAAAAAAGTACTCGAAAACCATGGTTCTAAATAGAATTCAACAAGCTATATTTTTAAATGGTTCTCTGTTTTGCCACCGTATAGAAGTAAACACTTATACATGTATAAGTTTGAAAATGTCCTTATAGGACGAAACTGCAGTAACGTTAGTTACAAATGAAAGTGGTAAAAACATAAAAAGTTCCAATTCTTTTTTCTTCATTATGATCCCCTACCACGTAGTAACGGCTACATCCATCAATTTATATCTGGATTTAATTCAATATCCAGCGTGGTATTAGCCGGGGAAGTAGTTGGTTTCCGACAGGCATTCACCAGAACTTACGGTGTAGATAGTTGGGAGAGATGAATATTCCGAAATTTTATTTCGAAATGTTTATTTTCTTATTCGTATGTATCTCGATACAGGGTGTTTCAAATTCGATCCTCACCATTGGGGTGTCGGAAACTATGAAAGATACGAAGATGGTTAAATTGGGACAAAGTTGCGCATTTACCTGACTAACAATATGACAACGTTTTAGAAAGATTTTAATAACGATGCTGTTACATAAATAAAAGATTATTTTTGGCTTGGACTTTTATATAGTATGTACATGTCCAACATTTTAGGCCGATTTTAATAACGATGCTGTTGCATAAATAGCAGATTATTTTAGGTTTTGGCTATTATTAATTATATTATATTAACTATGTAAATTGT